GGACCCCAATTTAGCCGAATTAGAAAATTTATCGTTTATGCATTTTATGCTTGATAACTGCGGACCCCTTCCCCTTAGTCTGGTTCCCGCCCCCGCCACTCCGTTTTTACCTGACCCCAAAACGAAGTGAAAACGGAGTGGCGGGGGCGGGAACCAGACTACCTTCTCCTTTGAAATGAAAATTAAACCGGCGTATCTTTTATTTTCAAAAAAAATAAAGAAGTTTTGTTAGTTTCTTCAAAGATAACAAATTTAAAGAACATGATCAAGAGCTTCCGCGGGGACTTATTCTGATCTCTAATTTAGATCCTGGGTCCCCTTCCTGCTTTTCCAGTCGTCTGTCTCAAGTCCCTTCTAATATAAAATCCTTGATCCGCCCCAATACAGGTTTTAGATTCGGCTTTCATCTTTACCGCAACCCCAACTTTTTGGTTAATGATTGATATGCAGGGATCTCTGTTTAGTGTACATGTATATGCATTTTCTGACTGATCTTAATTATGATATCATTTATTAAATATATTTATAAATTTTTACACATTGTAATTATTTTCCTGAAATGATATAATCACAGGATCATTGTTTTAAATGAGCAATGTTTTATTAAGCATATTGTTATTCTATCCATCGGCATGTCTTTTCCTGAACATATTGCTCCAAATGAGAAACATTCTGTTCTATTCATTACATATCCTAGAAATTTCATCTGGTTATGGGTGTAAGTTGATCAGATGCCATTATTAGACAGCATTTTCCATCATCAATTTGATAATCAATTTATTTTATTTAAAAATAATAAATCGAAACATTTATTTTTATTAAATTACCGACCTCTGTAGTGATTGCATGTCCATGTCAATGAGGAAATAACAGCTAAATCTGGAGAAAATTGGCAACTTCAAAATTGATATATACTCATTTCTACATCTCAAAGAACATGAAGATGACAAGTTGACAACTCAAAAAACTCAATACAAATGAAAATACTTAGTCCAGGTCTAAAACATTAAATGTATTTTCTTCATTTCTTAGACAATGTAATAGATTGACTCACACTTACACTAAATGAGTTAGATTTCATTCCAATCATCTGTTTTAAAGTTATAATTAACCTGCACAATTTCAGTTTCCATTACATGTACATCAACCTTGATAGATACATAGATATGTTGAAATATTTTTATATTCCAAAATTTATAAGTCTTCCATATTCGTTTTGAATTTTTTCCTTTATTTTATTGCTTTATTATCTTTCAAATTGTTTCTTTTCATCATTTATAGTTACAAAACAACATACGATCTACTATACTTTGTTGTAATTACTTAGCAATAATTAAGGTCATAGGATATCCAAAATCTGAAGAAAGTGGGGTTTTTATCTAATCTTCTTGTGTCGTTGTTTTTAGATTAAAATTTATTTGTTACATGGTAAAAAACAATAAAATAAATTCATTTTGGGCAATTTAATTTTTTCATGTTTTTGTGTTGAAATTCAAACTGATGATGCTTTCATATCAATATAACAAATGGCTTTGTTGTTCTTGAGCAGCAGATTTTTTTTCCCATATATTCATTTGTAAAAATTTGATCCCCCATTGTGGCCCCACCCTACCCCCGGGGGCCCTCATTTGAACAAATTTCATTCTACTACCCAAAGATGCCTCCATATCAATTTGACTAATCATGGCTTTTCTGTTCTTGAGAAAAAGACTTTTTCCTATATATTCCTCTGTAAACTTTGATCACCCATTCTGGCCCCAACCTATTCCCGGGGTAATGATTTGAACAAACTTGAATCTACACTACCTGAGGATGCTTCCATATAAATATAACCAATCTTGGCTTTACTGTTCTTAAGAAGAAGATTTTTAAAGATATTTTCCTATATATTTCTATGTAAAACTTTGATCCCCCATTGTGGCCCCACCCTACCCCCGGGGGTCATGATTTGAACAAACTTGAATCTACACTACCTGAGGATGCTTCCATAAAAATATGACCAATCATGGCTTTGCTGTTCTTAAGAAGAAGATTTTTAAAGATATTTTCCTATATATTCCTCTGTAAACTTTGATCACCCATTCTGGCCCCAACCTATTCCCGGGGTAATGATTTGAACAAACTTGAATCTACACTACCTGAGGATGCTTCCATATAAATATGACCAATCTTGGCTTTACTGTTCTTAAGTAGAAGATTTTTAAAGATATTTTCCTATATATTTCTATGTTAAACTTTGATCCCCCATTGTGGCCCCACCCTACCCCCGGGGGTCATGATTTGAACAAACTTGAATCTACACTACCTGAGGATGTTTCCACATAAGTTTCATCTTTCCTGGCCCAGTGGTTCTTGAGAAGAAGATTTTTAAATGATGCCATTATTTTTTCACTAATTCCTAATTATCTCCCCTTGAAAGAGGGCGTGGCCCTTCATTTGAACAAACTTGAATCCCCTTTACCCAAGGACGCTTTGTGGCAAGTTTGGTTGAATTTGGCCCAGTGGTTCTTGAGAAGAAGATGAAAATGTGAAAAGTTTACGACGACGCCAACGACGACGACAGACAACGGACAAATTTTGATCAGAAAAGCTCACTTGAGCCTTTGGCTCAGGTGAGCTAAAAAAAACTTCGCCGTTTTTAGCATTAAACTGTTAACTGACATACACCTATCAAGCCGTATTATTTTAAGTACTATAGTTTTTATGCTCCCGTAATCGAAGATTTCGGGGCAAATAGTTTTTGCCCTGTCCGTCCGTCTGTCTGTCTGTCCGCAAAAACTTTAACCTTGCCCATAACTTTTGATTGGTTGGAGCTATGGCTTTCATATTTCACATGTGTATTCCTTGTGACAAGACCTTTCTTTGGGTACCATCATATTTGACTTTTGACCTTGACCTTGGAGTTTGACCCACTTTTGCAAAATTTTACGAGACTTTAACCTTGGCCATAACTTTTGAACACTTGGAGCTTGGGCTTTCAAACTTCACAAGTGTATTCCTTGTGAAAAGGCCTTCCTTTGGATACCAACATTTTTGACCCTTTGACCTTTACCGTGGAGTTTGACCTATTGTTGAAAAAACTTTAACCTTGGCTATAACTTTTGAACAGTTTGAGCTAGGTCGTTCATATTTTGCATGTGTACTCCTTGTGACAAGATCTTTCTTTGCATACCAACAGCTTTGACCTTTTGACCTTGGAGTTAGACCTATTTCAATTTTGAAAAATTTTAACCTTTGCAATAAATATTAAACAATTAGTGCTAGGGTTTTCGTACTTCACATACACATTCCTTGTGAGAAGACCTTCCTTTAGATACCAACAACTTTGACCCTTTGACCTTGGAGTTTGACCTACTTCTGAAAAACTTTAACCTTGGCCATAACTTTTGAACAGTTGGTGTTAGGGCTGTCACACTTCACATGTATATTTCTTGTGACAAGACCTTCCTTTGAATACCAACAATTTTGGTATTGACCTCGACCTTGGAGTTTGACCTACTTTCTAAACTTTTTAACATTAGCCATAACATTTGAACGTTTGGTTCTAGGGCTTTCATATTTCACGATCATGTGTATCACTTGCGACATGAACTTCCCTTGTGGTACCATTTGACCTTGACCTTTTACTTTGAAAAACTTTAACCTTCGCCATAACTTTTCAACGGTTTGTACTAGGCCTGTCATATTTCACAGGTATATTCCTCGAGACAAAATCTTTCTTTGGCTACCAATATTTTTTTTTTATTTCTTGACCTGCAGTTTGACTTGCATTTAAGAAACTTTAACCTTCGCCATAAGCTGCCACACGGGGGCATCAGTGTTTTACAAACACATCTTGTTTAACTCTGTACTTCTTCAACAGCTTTTTACAGACATTAGCCCTACCATATAAACAAAGAAAACATTTCAATGTTTGCATGCAGAAAAAGAACTTTCTGTCAATCAAGAAGATATTTTTAAAAAACTTAATAATACTTACTATGAAAAATTAAAGTGTCAGTTTAATTTACTGATATTTTCTTTTGTTCGTTTTGTCGATCATTTAAAGATTGATAATCTTGAAAAATTGTTAAATTGTACAAAAATTTAATCACCTGAAAATTATCTCCCTTGCCTTGCACAGCCAATGAAATAATTGACATTTTCACATCATGCATTTTCTACCAATCACAGGAGAGAGGAAAAGCATAGTCTAAAGACTGTAAAACACTTCAACTCTGTATACCGTCTTCCAAGGAAGATGGAAATAACGTTATAAACGCAACATTTTGGCAATATAAAAGCAAGCTTTGAAATTATTTAGCAAAAAAAGTAACGAGAAGACATATAATTGATTTTTTATCTCAGTAGTTTTTAATTTTACCTATCTTTACATCTTGAAATTCCTGACTAATTCGTCTACGTTTTCAAAAAAGTTGTCAGACCTTTTTTAAAGTAACTCTTTCAGTAAAATTGGTCTAAAAACGTTATTTTTCTATATTTTTCAAGTAATGCGTCAAAAACTATACCGGGCTTACAGTAATATAGCATTAAAACCTCGTAGGCAAATTTGATAAAAAAATTGCAGATATGCTGCAAATTCTGAGAAACATTATATAAAATTTTCAGGATATGTTTTCTCATAAGATTTTTTATGCAGTAAACCCGCGACCTACCTTAAGTCATGAGGAACAAAATCCGTGCAGTTATAGCTCCGACAAAAATTGTGACAGAGAGACAAAACAATGCTTTAACATGTACAATATGTCTCTATCCTGTCAGAGGGGGATACTGTATAAAGGGTTATTTTAACACTTTTACACCTGCAAACGATTTTGCCCCATTTTGAATTTGCCAAAACACAGTTCTGTTTAAGCGATAATGCAGTTTTCTTTGAATTTGCCTAATTGTGACAAGAACGGAAGGAGCAAAAAAAAAAACAGGGGCAAAAATTTCCCTGTATTCAGTAATAATACATTTAAATCCTGGATAACTCACCAATAAAAACAACATACAGTATATTAAAGCACTGTGTGCATTTATTTACACAAGTTTCATACCAGGATTTAATATTTTGAACAACCCTCGAAGAAGCAATTCCCGGATGCTTCCCTTTCTGGTTTAACCAGAAAATAAAAATAGACTCAAATCCTGTTGAGCTCCTTAAAAATGAAGAAATGGTCACAAAAAGATGTGTCTTTGTGATTCCACACTAATTTTCACAACAATGGATGTGTACTTTGCACTTTTTGTGTCATCTTTTGCTACTTAATCCAAGTCTTATATTTTTTTCAATTTCAAATTGTCTTTGATCTGCTCTGTTAAGAAACTGCATCCTCTCAATGTATCTAAAACAAGAAAAGAAGGATTACTTCATAAAGATTTCTTGAAACTATATACTATTGCTTTATATATACATGTAGAGTTAAAAAATATGATGAAATATTATGAAGATTTCAATTTTTTTCTTCATAAGTTTCAGTCTAAGGTGTGATAACCATGATATTTTTACTCTCAATATATGTGCAGACAAACTTTTTCCTAATGTCAACATATTTAAGTGGAAACTACTCACTTCATTTCATTCGACATACTAATTAAAATCTATCAAATCAGGATGAAATTCACCATGTGCCAAATGCCATTCTCTAAGACATACCTCTATCCTTCCATTACTCCATGATTAGTCTGGCCTTACCCATCTTTTCCTCTGTTGTGAATCTGGCACAGATCCCCACCCTTAAATTACCCCTTGATTAGTCTGGCCTTACCCATCTTTTCCTCTGTTTATCAATCTGACACAGATCCCTACCCTTAAATTACCCCTTGATTAGTCTGGCCTTACCCATCTTTTCCTCTGTTTATCGATCTGACACAGATCCCTACCCTTAAATTACCCCTTGATTAGTATGGCCTTACCCATCTTTTCCTCTGTTGTGAATCTGGCACAGATCCCCACCCTTAAATTACCCCTTGATTAGTCTGGCCTTACCCATCTTTTCCTCTGTTTATCAATCTGACACAGATCCCTACCCTTAAATTACCCCTTGATTAGTCTGGCCTTACCCATCTTTTCCTCTGTTTATCAATCTGACACAGATCCCTACCCTTAAATTACCCCTTGATTAGTCTGGCCTTACCCATCTTTTCCTCTGTTTATCAATCTCTGACACAGATCCCTACCCTTAAATTACCCCTTGATTAGTATGGCCTTACCCATCTTTTCCTCTGTTGTGAATCTGGCACAGATCCCCACCCTTAAATTACCCCTTGATTTGTCTGGCCTTACCCATCTTTTCCTCTGTTTATCAATCTGACACAGATCACTACCCTTAAATTACCCCCTGATTAGTCTGGCCTTACCCATCTTTTCCTCTGTTTATCAATCTGACACAGATCCCTACCCTTAAATTACCTCTTGATTAGTCTGGCCTTACCCATCTTTTCCTCTGTTTATCAATCTGACACAGATCCCTACCCTTAAATTACCTCTTGATTAGTATGGCCTTACCCATCTTTTCCTCTGTTGTGAGTTTGAAGTTCCTCTGAGATTCCCTTCTCTTGCTTGAAGCTGTCCCAGTCTAACTTTGATTTTTCCTGATGAACCAGAAATTAATAATGTGTTAAAGCTTGAAATCTTTAATCAAACTGCCTGCATAGAGTTGAAAGACAATCAACTCTTTTACCAGAGCCAAAGTCTCAGGTAACTGCATTTATTCCCACTTATACATGTATAACGGATACCATGCCAAAAAGTGTTGATTTTTCCAAATTTTGAGATTAAAAGTTCCCAATTCAACTGGTGAAGAACAGACTGCTATATGACACCGCAGTTCTTTTAGTATGAAGTGTCGTTTGAGTTTAAAATTAATCGAAAGAAAAGATGGCATGACTCGTTATAGACAGCTTAGTGTCTGACATTTCTAATTCAACTGCCAAGTGACAGACTGTTATGACAGCAAAATTCTTTTAGTACAAAATGTTGTATGAGCTGACTAAATTTTTCACTTCCTCTTAAAATTGAATGAATGACTCATGTTATGGACAGCCTACATGGCATGACTCGTGTTATGGACAGCCTAGTATTGATAACTTGAAAACTTAAAAATGTGAGAACAATAGACATTTAAAAACATGTTTATACGTAAAACAACAAATACCTGTTGTTCATTCTTTGAAATGTGGATTAAAAGTGTTAATGATTTAAGAATGATAACACACAATAAATGACATTTTTAATAGAAAAAACCCTGAGTAAGGTTTTATGATACAATTTTTCTGTTGCCCATCTGTTTGGGTATTTTCTGTTAACTTTTTACATTTTTAACATTTTTGTAAACAATTACTATATCAGTTTTAGTCAAAACAGGTCAGAAACACTGATCTGTAAAGGGGTATTGAGGTTTGTTAGAATAAAAGCCTTGTGTCTCTTTCCAAAGAGAGATAATTCATGAAGTGAAAAGATTTGCTGGTTGTTTGCTTTATTTGAATCATCTCTATGAATTTTTTCACTCATGTTGGGAAGCCACCAATTATCATTGGAAGGCTCAAATTTAGACCTGTAGCTGGCACTTCTGGCCACTGTGAAGTTTTGGCTCATGTTTCTGGCTCAGATGAGCTAATAATCAACCTTATCCATAAATGATTGTTTCCATAACCTATATTCATATAAAAGGACAAGACCTTGGTCATGGCAGTAATCTTGATTTCACTGTCAGGTGATGATCAGAATATATTACCTCAGCATAGATAAGATGTGTTTGTGAAACACTGATGCCCCCCGATGGCAGCTTTTCAGAAGTAGGTCAAAATCCAAGGTTAAGGTGATGGGGAAAAATCTTGTTATAAGGAATACAGAAGTACAAAATAAAAGGCCTTTCACAAACTGTTCAAAAGTTATGGCCAAGGTTAAAGGTAAAATTCTAGGGCCAAGGTCATGAGGTCAAAATGTTACAACCCCGAGAAAGGTTTTGTAACAAGGAATACACAAGTGAAATATTAAATAAACCCTAGCACTAACCGTTCAAAAGTTAAGGCCAAGGTTAAAGTTTTTGCAGACAAACAGATAAACAGACTGAACAAAAACTATATGCCCCTGAACCCTCCATAAAAGGGGCAAGAAAAATTTTCATTTACAAACATTCATGTAAAACACAATGGTAAATTGGGAGAAATGATATAAGATATTGGTATAAAATCAGGAGTAATTATAATTTTTTGATAAGTATCCTACATACATTTAATACTACAATGTACTAATATAGAAGAGAATCTTTACATACCAAAGTACTGATCTTATCTTTCTTTCCAATTTTATTCAGCACACTGCCCAGTCCACCTGGTTTTTTCCCTCTGAAAAAATCAAATATAGATAATTACCAGTAACATGTTTCTCATTTCAAAGGTTACAGAGATATCTATAACTCAAATTAATAAATCTATATGTGGTTACAAGGTATTTTTAAAATATATATGTACATGTACCAGGAATACTAGTAATGTGTAGTAGGAAAGGAGGATGGAATAAAGAAAAATTTTACACACAATCAATGATTTTAAATAAATTTCCATAATTTTTCTTACATATATATTATGAAAACATAACTTTTTCCATTTTTATTTACCTGGTATATACAGACCCTGAAACGTGCTACTACCCCAAAAAAGCGTGTGACTTTCGTGCGCTTTTCGTTTCGTGCAAACCGTGTAGCGTTTCGTGTAAACCGTGCAGCGTTTCGTGCAAACCGTGTAGCGTTTCGTGTAAACCGTGCAGCGTTTCGTGTAAGCTCCAAAGCGTTTCGTGCAAACCGTGTAGCGAGCGTGCGAGAAGCGTGTGAGAAACGTGTCGACTTTCGTGTAAGAACCGTGTGAGAAACGTGCGACTTTCGTGCAAGAAGCGTGTGAGAAACGTGTAGGATACATTCGGAACTCATTTTATTTTAAATATGGCTATTGATGGATCAACATGTCATTCTGTGTTGTTTGTAACTAATATTATTCGAATATATTATACCGGTGGTATTTTAAGAGAGAAAAAACTACGGAAACAACAAAATAATATTACTCGGTAGTGTACATGTATTACATATTTGTTTGATTTTTATTCTTTTTTTATTTAAATAAAGAAGGAAAGAGAATATGTTCAAAGTAATTAATTATACGCACATCAATTTTAAGATATTCAATACATTTTTTTAAGGGGGCAATACTGAACATCGTTTAAAAAAAAATCATCAATAATCCGGTCTTGTTCTTTTCATTCATTTATTTGAATCTCTTCACCATTTTACAGTTGTGGTATATAGATATTACAAAAACATATGGGTGATTAATGCAAAATAGTAGATAGATAAGGCAGGCGTGAAATATAAAATACTAAGTTTATTGCGTTGCTATAATTGTTAAGTATGGGAATTCTAGGCTGGGGAGCACAATTATTTTTTTTCTTTATAAACGAACATAATTTTCTTCTGTTACAAGATTGTGATACAAATAATTTTTAAACGATGAGTCACTTATAGTCCTTTTATGCATAAAATTGGTTGATTAAAAATTGTCTTATAAATGAATCATAATTCACATGCATCGGCAAATACAAGGTCAAATATTTCCGGGGAAGGGGGGGGGTGTTCAAATGCAAACACAAACTTTGAGTTTTTGTTATTAACATGTTTTTATAGATGATTTTCTTTTTAAAGAAAATATTGATTTTTTTCGGGGTGCGCTTGATGCACCCCTTAAAAATGTATAGGAATCTTCTTTACACTTCCGACACTCTTCTTACGACTGTGATCAAGGTCATTTACAACAGCGATCAAGGGCTCCGCGTGCCGGGAACTGAAAACTTGTTCTGCTACATGTACATGTATTATCTCTTGTCAATCATGGCTAAGACGACACCCGACAATTACGATTGATTTTTAATTCGTGAAATTTAATAGTTGTATTAGTATTTAAAGGGTAAAAATAAATACCCGTGGATTTTATTTCTTAAATTTATCGATTCTCTGTAAACAGTGAATTGATTTGCCAGTGTTTTCGTGAATAATAAAATATAAAGAAAAAAATCCGGAGTAATTATATATTAGTTGTTTTATTAATCACGCAGTTCTAGAGCATATTTTTTAGTTTTTAGGACACTGGACATGTATTCATGTATATTGAATGTATTGTTAAGAGCCGCGACTATTGATTAAAAATGTCTTTTTTTTTTTTTTTTTTTTTTTTTTTTTTTTTTTTGGCTAGACGGGATTTGAAATCAAGGATCTTACAAGGTGGTGGGTATATTGTTTTTATTTGATAAACACAATGCCTCAAAATGGAGAACTAAAGCATTACAATACCTATTCCCCCGGCTTCTCTAACATATTAAATTTTAATGATAAGTCAAAGTTTGATTCTGTAATGAAGCGATATATTTACCATTCTAATTAAATTGCAGTTAATGAATTACATGTATCTGGTCCCGCTGGAGATATGGATATCCTTTTTTTCTTAGAACGGGTATTTGTTTCTGTAATATTTTTTTCCCAATGGTATACTTACTGAAACAAGTGCCAGTTATATTTAGCCATGAACAGAAGTAAGATCTCGGTAATCTAACCCCCCCCCCCCCCTCCTGCACAATGTTCCTATTTGATTTAGTGTACATATTACCTTTGCAAATTATAAACAGGACCTAATTCAATCACATGAAAGTATTTATTTACTAAATCAAAAAAATGAATAAATCAATCAATAATTTAAAAAAAAAAGGAAAGGAAAGAAAATCAATCCGATTACAGAAATCATACACAATTTAATCATTTTCTATCTTCAAATCAATAACTGGATTTATTTGTCAGTAATAAAACGATTTGTTATCAAACTATAATTGTAGAAACATTGAATGCTGTAAATATTATGAATTACAAATATAATTATTTTTTTTCAGTGCGTACATGTAATTTAGAGTCTAGTGAAAATGTTTTGTACATAGACGATGATACATGTAGGCATTTCACCGTACGCGTCACATTAATTCTCAATGAAAACTATATTATTAATTAAAAACAACTTAACATTGTGTATATTTATCTGTTAATATCGTACTGGTGTAGCGAGGTCTAATCCTAACTTAATCTGAATGATTGCAATTCTTAAATAATCTTTGATTAATCCGTAATTTACTTAATTTAAATAAAGTCCGAGAGATTCCGAATAAAAAATCCAGATCGAGGCCAAAACGTGCGAGAATCGTGTACAAAGCGTGTGAGAAACGTGTACAGAGCGTTTCGTGCAGGCTTTCGTGTAAACCGTGCAGCCTTTCGTGCAAAGCGTTTCGTGTAAACCGTGTAGCGTTTCGTGCAAACCGTGTAGCGTTTCGTGTAAACCGTGCAGCGTTTCGTGCAAACCGTGTAGCGAGCGTGTACCGTTCGTGCAGCGAGCGTGTGGGGTAGTAGCACGTTTCAGGGTCTGTATTTAAAAAAAGCATGTTTTGATGCTAGGATGACGCTGTTTTACTAATTTACAACATCTTTTACAGTTCCACTAATTACAATTCCACTAATTACAATTCAAAAGTTTCAACAAAAAATTCATTAATAACGGAATTAATAATAAATACCTACTAAATAATAAATAATAATTGCACAATTAAAAAATCATGATATACCAGTATACCAATAAAATGAAGCAACCCTAGCCTAGACCAAGATGGTCAGATGTTTAACCACTGAACTACCCTGGTCAATGTCCATATAGTTAACACTATTACATAAGTTTGTGACTATGCACATTAACTAGAACTGTCCAAAATGGACCCCCCCCCCCCTTCCCCCTGGATTTTTCAAAAAATGTACAAAGTCACAAAAAATATTTTATGGATCTAAGAGGTGTTCACAATTTGTTTAAAATTTGAGAGTGAAAATTTAATTGCTCATTGTTTCACCGTATTTTTTATGAATGATGAACTAAGCTGCAGCCTAATAAAACATCAATACTAATAATTATATTGTTTTATATTACATTGAAAAAATTAATTGCAATAATTATTAATAAAAAATCAAAATAAAATGATCATATAATACAATATCAAATTAGTCTTGATAATTTTACACCAAATTAGTTGCTAGGTAAAATACTTACAGAACTGTTGGACCAGGTGTTGCTAGGTTTATACTAACAGAACTGTTAGAATAGGTGTTGCTAGGTTTATACATGTACTTAACAGAACTGATGGTCCTAATGATGCTAGGTTTATACTCACAGAACAGTTGGTCCTGGTGTTGTTGGCTTCTCTTCTGATTCTTTCTTTTCTTGAGTCAACTTTTTCATTTCCTTTTTTCCTTCTTCTGTATTTAAATCTATATCTTTGGTGACCCTTGAAAATACAAAATACATACATGTATATACAGTTTGTATTTTCATGTTTTTAGTACAATATACAGTTAAACTTTGGTATCTTGAACAACGATATCTAAAATACCATGAATATGAGGATGTAAGTTGGAAATCCCAACTGCTTATTTCTCCGTTTTTTGACCTTGATACATGAAACATCTTGAAACATCAGATATATCTAAGTATTTTTCTTGGCCCCAACATGTTTGAGATGAAAAAGTTTGACTTAATATAATGAGATCAATCGGAATCCCAATAAAATGATACAAATTAATTTTGATCACTTACTTAACTGTCTCTCCAGCAAAATCAAACTCTTTTGTGACTGTAACTTTTTTTGAAGTTGGTGTAACAGGGCTTTTGATTGTCTGCAAAGTAAAGGTGTAACGATACAGTGATACATCAACCATATTGTCTGCAAGGTCTCAAGATATGCATAACGTATTATTAGGTATGTATCAAGATACAGTACAAGTTAATTTTTATTTTCTTACTAGAATAATCTATGTACGACCTAATAAATTTAAATGGCAGAAAACATTGTAGATCAAATAGGATTTCTGCATTTGGTCTGTGAATCCACCCATAATAAACTTTGGTAAACAGTGTTGAGACATTCAATTAATGTGGACTGTTTATGTAACCCAAAAATATATGTAAAGATTTTATTCAATTTCCAACAGCTGTATTGTGATATGTTTTATTGCTGGACTGTATCATAAATATAATGTATAATTTAAAAGAACAACTTGACTAAATGAAATCTTGATTATTTTGTTCAATCTCTAAATAACTGCACTAAAACAAAGAATGAAAAAAAAGAATAGCCTCATAAGTTATCTACTCTATAGTTGTTTTCATTTAACCAATAATGCAGTCATTTATCATTGTAAAGTTAATATGCAGTGGTGGTAATACCGTGGTATTTTACTAACTGTAAAATCACATATTTTTTTATGTGTGAAAAATTTAGGGATGGCAATTTGTAATAAGTTTACCGGTAACTCAGTGGGAACGATGGTAATCAGTTAGAAAATCTGTAAACAGTTAGTCGGAAAAAAAATAATATGTGCATGTGTAAATTTGAACACAATTTCCTGAAAATTCAATTAAAAATAGCATTTTCATGTATCTATTTCTAAGCAGATTCGTAGATACATGGACTTATCATGATCTTTCAAAAATTGTAATTTTATGAAAAATATTATCTATAACCTTATTTATTAAAATACTGAATGCAATAAACGTTGTTGAAAGCATATATTTTAAGAGATATTGAGAGCTGAAATTCAAATACGGCAATATGCATATTTCAGTCGGATTTCGGCAAAATACTGCTCTGACGTCATAGGCGGCAATTCGATGATAGAGAGACGAGGATATGCACACTATTAACGGAGTTATCGATGGCAAATGCAGCTATATTACGAAAATTGCTGAGAAAAATTCCTTATATACTTTTCAATTACTGTAGAAACATTAATTATTTCTAAGGTATAAGGCTTTTAAGATATTTTCGGTTTTTATTCAAAACACTTAGAACCTGTAGCTCTAATTGCGGCAAAGTTTCGTGATCGGGAAATTATTTTTCAAGATCGCCATCCTTTAAAAAACATATGAAGACTTGCATAAATTAATATTATATACAAAACGAAGAATAACAAAGTTATATGATGTTTAATTTGTGAATCAAATAAGTAAATACATGTGATAAGATGACAAATCAAATTGCATTGTTATGGCGAGTTTCTTCGTCTTCTCTGCATCTCCCTCGCTATCGTTGCTGCTATTTTTACAATGTTAACAGATTTTTCAGATTTTTTCTTGCTGACAATTCTAACATATAAGGTTGATATTAAATTTTATATCAATAAAATAAGTGATTTGGTCGTCCACAACGCAAAAATTCAGGTTGTATCGCGCATATTTTAGTAAGATTATTGAAGAGCTGATCAGCCATTGTCGCCTTTGACGTCACAGGGTCACATGATCGCTATCTTATTAACTTAGATTTTTAATTCAGGGGTTTTCATTTGAGTCAGTAATTAGTTAAGTACCGCGATTTATCCACAGTAAAAACACAGAATTTATAAATTGTGGTCACAAGGAACGTAAAACGCTTTTAATTTCAAATAATTTAGAAACATGTGATAAGTCCTTTAAGGCCCTTCGGACTGACATCATGGGGGGTAATTGGTCAGTTTTCAAAATGTTAACTGCTGATTAAACACCATGTCGTTACCCAGCCTGTCCTGTGTTCTTTAATGATTTTAATTAAATGATCATTGAGTACTGTGAAATGATTATAAGGTGTACCTTACCTCTTCTATCCTTTGCAGTTACATGTCAAATTATATTATTAAACAAACATCATAAATTAAGAGATAGTTCAGATTTAATTTTGATTATGGTGACAATGCAGAATGAACTTCTCTTCTGAATTTTATTTAAATGTATCTGATACTTCAGGCATGTCTCATGGGTTTCTTATTTTTTTTTCTCCTCTTTTTTTCCCCCATTTTTATTTTTTTTTCCTTTTGCCAATTAAAATTGAAATAAAATAAAATAGTGTTCTGATCATATATGAATATAAACATAATATTACTACATGTAACATCTTTATAGTCTTGTTTATTTGAGTGGAGCTATGTTGACAGTGTTTCAGTTTGATACAATTAACCGATTTTAAAATCAGTCGGAATGTCTTACAGTTAACTGATTGGCAATTCTGTATTCGATTGCCATCCCTAGAAAAATTACACTTCGTGGTGGACATAAATTTGTGGGTCTCTTCATACCTTGAAAACAACGAAAATTAAACCTCTACGAAAATGAGTGATTTCACAGAGATACTGTTAAACTCAAGGTGATTGTTAATTCTTGTAGCATTCAAATTTCTCGTGTTGAGTCATCTAAGCATGAAGTTGGAAGATTATAATATAAACTGGTTATCCATTACACATATGAATGGGCAGAGCTTGATTTACCAATTAAAAAGTCAAAGGTTGAAACCAGATTTAATTCCAATAGTGATATGTGAGGCATCTCATCTTGATTTACCTAGATTCATGATGTTTGAATTTCGAATATTATGGTCAAGATGGGTAATCTTCAACAGAAGATTTTTTTTGGCTTACTTATGTCAAAGTCTAGACAAAGTTAACTCTACAAGATTAATTACGAACAAGTCAGGCTTAAAAAAGCTTAAAGCATTAGCTAAACAAAATGCTAAAAGAGAAGGACAGGTGAACAGACTCTCTCTTTCTGCTTTACAATTTGGCCAAAAATAAATTGCAAATACACTATTCTAAAAATATAAAAGAGTTTTGATATGGATGTAGTCTTCAGACTCCATATGAAGTAGATACACCTGTATGAATACTTACTACATGTACATGTCAAAGCATACAATGTACCTTAGACATACTGGCTAGTGAAGTTCCACTGGGAGTGGCTGGCTTTGCTTTTGGTCGACTCCCCACATCGGACAGAAAACTTGACCACAGGTCATCTGCCTTTTTCTTCTCTTGTTCCTCTTTTTTGGCTTCTTGTTCTTTCTTGACCTCTTCTGACAAGACTTTGTTGTAGTCGTCTTCTGATTCCTTGGTGACTTCTGTTTCTCCCTCAAGCTTAATACCACCTTTACGCTTTCTTGAAAAGAAATGCGTGTTCCTTTCTTACAAGTCAAAAAAATAACTGACAAGACATTATCAGATAAATCATTGCAGATTATTATTTAACTAATCTTTGTTTACCTCTTCTTCCGCAGTCTTTTTCAAACTTAATAGACTTACAATAAAACTTCAATTAAATATATTCATATTGGGTGAAATTACTTGAAAATTAATGATGTTTATAATAGTAAAAATACAGCCATATATACAAATGTTAGTACAACTGAAACTAACAATTTCTCTTTCATACAACTTTACCTAACTCTCTTATGACTTCTCTGAATATGACGTTCAAATTTCAGGGTTTTTCTTTTCACCATGTTCAAAAGACTAAATTCTTAGTGGCTGATAATTTCTGGGTTTTCTGACCTTATCTTTTTCTCTCCCTAACATGACTTTACTCCTTTCTGAACTTTTGTGATATATTGGGAAAAAATTGTGATAAATCACAATTTGAAATTTTTGATGATACACCTATCCCTAATAATTTCCCCCTTTCTGGATATTCTCAGAGCTTTCCCCCAAGCATGATTCTCCCCTTTCTGGATATTCTCAGAGCTTTTTCCCTAGCATAATTCTCTCCTTTCTGGATATTCTCAAAGCTTTCCCCCAAGCATGATTCTCCCCTTTCTGGATATTCTCAGAGCTTCCCCCCTAGCATGATTCTCCTCTTTCTGGATATTCTCAGGGCTTCCCCCCTAGCATGATTCTCCCCTTTCTGGATATTCTCAGAGCTTCCCCCTAGCATGATTCTCCCCTTTCTGGATCATCTCAGAGCTTTCTCCCTAGCGTGATTCTCTCCTTTCTGGAAAATCTCAGAGCATTCCCCCTAGCATGATTCTCCCCTTTCTGGATAATCTCAGAGCATTCCCCCTAGCATGATCTCCCCTTTCTGGATATTCTCAGAGCTTTCCCCCTAGCATGATTCTCCCTTTCTGGATATTCTCAGAGCTTTCCCCTAGCATGATTTTCCCCTTTCTGGATCATCTCAGAGCTTTCCCCCTAGCATGATTCTCCCCTTTCTGGGTATTCTCAGAGCTTTCCACTTAGCATGATTCTCCCCTTTCTGGATATTCTCAGAGCCTTCCCCCTAGCATGATTCTTCCCTTTCTTTGTATTCTCAGAGCTTTCCCCCTATCATGATTCTCTCTCTCTGAGTATTCTCCTGGCATTGTCTTTCTCCCCTCTCTGTTTTCCCTTTAATATGTTTTTACCTAGCTGTAAACCCATTCTATGATTTCCTTTAATTTAACTTTATCCCTTTTCACTAATAAGAATAATGATCTTCTGTTTTTCTGTGATTTTTCTTTATTAGACCATACCCTTTTCTTGGATTTTACTTGTCATCACTTTACCTTGCTGTAAGCCCTTTTGGGGTTTTCCGTTTCCGTTTTCCTGACTTGGTCCCCTCTAGCTCAGCCTCTTTATGGAGAGCATCAAAATCCTCTTCCTCTCCTGAATTTTCTTCCTCACTTACTGCTTCCCCATCTGTAATTTGTTTGTGAATCCTTATAAGATCTGAATGATCTTGATACCACAGAGTACACGAAAGTTGCAAATCTGTAGTTCTCTAGTTTGAAAATTTTTATGGATGACCAGAGAGCTACAGTTCCATGTATCCAAAATAGTGTACATTTATTGCATACAAAACGTTTGCATGGTTTAAGTTAGACAGAATGTTCTATCATTAAGATGATAAATGTCCTACAGACCTGGGGTTTAACAGATTGCAATGCTTTTGCAATGTAACAAAGTATACACGGGTGATAACACTGACTCAGTTAAAATGTCTAGAGAGTTCCGAATGTCAACATGGTGAGTAAAATAATGTTTAGAAAAAATGTTGAATTCTTCCAATAAATGGATTAAATTTTTGGGTGAAAGGTATCCATAATCTCAAAAAGATTTTTTATAATTAATTTGATGCTTATTTTCAATTCAACTTCATTTATTTTCTCCAAAATCATTTCGGAATGATTCTCTACAATTTTCTGCTACATTGTGGGTATATGGGAAACATTCTTGGTGAGGGCATGTCCAGAGACAATGATTAATATTCTAACTAGGTTCAAGTTATATATCAATCTTTTTATATTTTCATCTCGACCTGGGCCAGTAAAAATAGACTGTCTCAGAGACACCTCCCACATACATCACTTATTGTCCATAGGAAGTTTTTTTTTCTGTGAACCTAAGCAGGTCTGGCACAATCTCTTGATTTAGCTATATAGCTTGAAAAAGCTATACAGCTTTACTAAGCTATTTAAAATAGCTTGATCAAGCTATTTATGTGCAGTTTTTCAGAAAAAATGTTTTTTTAAGAAAGAGACAAAAAGTCTCAAGTATTTGATTATTCATATATGTACTATGGGCTATCAAAACAACAACAGAGATTAAAGATAGTTCTATCATTGCAGCATTTGAATAATTTTAAGCAAAAGATGAATTTCCATTGTTTGAGTAACAGTACACTACCTTGTGTGCATTGAGGCGTGGATAAGTATGATTGCTTCTCATTGTACTGAATTATTACCAATCAATTATCTTGTTGACCATAATTGGCCTCTTTTATAATTTCAATGAAGAAGTAACTGTATCAATTGCTTTATATAGCCCCAAAACTTTTAGTACTTTGAGAACAAAGTCTCTTAAGGAGACGCAATTTGATGAGTGATTTTTACATGCATTATTTTCATCAGAATTCAAGGTTGAATATTATCACTGCACCAAGGTGCGACTTTTTGTGCATGCTGACAAAATAATAGTTATAGAATAATCTAACTGTGTCTCCGGACAGGCCCTCACCACAGTTATAATGCCTCCCATATACTGTAATGTAGCAGAAAATTGCAGAATCGTTCCGAAACGATTTTGGAGAAAATTAATGAAGTTGCATTGAAAATAACAGTCAAATTAAGGAGGCTCATTACACCCACAGTTTATTTTAGATTTCGTTACAGCACCAGTTATTATGAAGATTTCAAATATCCAAATGGAGGTTATGATAGGATAAATATTTTTTAAAGATTTTTTAATCTTTTTTTCTGATTTTGGTTAAATGTTCTATTTCAAGTTTCTGATTGATAGTATTGCAAGAATCTCAGTGTCAAGTGATGGATATCGTCTTCAGTTATGTAGGCAATATAATAACACTTCATAATAATCAACATTATTTTTATAAGAAAAAATAATTTTCTCCCAAAAAAGAATCAATGTGATTTTCTTCTTAATTTTTGCATGAATAATTTGGAAAATCAGTTATAAATAGACAAGGAATGTATATTTATGAATAACAAGTGACAAATTGAATGAAAAATGTTTTAAGGAAATGAAAATTCAAATTTAAAAAATAATTGGAATAAAAATTCCACTTGCAAGAGTTATCTTTCCTAAATCCCCCTGACTCAAAACACTCAAGAACGGTTGAACATATCGGACTCAGAATAAACTAAAATTTCTAGAATGAATATACATTTTTTAAAGAAAAAAAGACAAGCACACAAACCAACAAGAGTACAGTACTCTAAAAGCGCAAGTCAATTATAATTTATTTCAACGAGGTTGTAGATTTCAACTCGAATTTCCTCTATACGTACATGTTGTCAGTGGTAGAACTTGCTGCTTTCGCCATGACATTGTACACTACTTGGGTAGCGAAGATTTGACTGTCATTCTCTTTGGTCTCTACTTAAAAATAACCTTTCTTCGTTTGTGATTTATAATGAATCCGTTATCTTGTTCTCATTGTTTACAACACCGCATGTAGTCTATTTTTAGAGCGTTTTAAAGATTTAGATCATCAGCAAAGCGAACCTGTACAATTCGTCCCCAGGAGAAAACGGGCGAAACAATGGAGGTTTATTTTTCTGTGTAGTACGTCATCAAAAAGTGGTGTAATGAGCCTCCTTAATCATAACAAACCTTTTTGAGACTGTAAATATCTTTCATCTAAAAATTTAATCCATATATTAATGGAAGAATTCAACTCTTTTTCACCAACGTTTTTTACTCGTTTCAAATTTACACACCATGTTGACATTCGGAACTCTCGGGATTTTTCATAGTAAATGCACTGAGTTAGAGTTATCTCCCGTATTTTCTTTGCTACATAGACAATACACGATCGCATTCTATTGTTAAACAGGATCCGTAGGACATTTATCATTTTAACAATAGAACATTCTATCTAAGAAAATAACACATTTAAGAGAGAAGTGTGATAAAATAGCTAAATCAAGCTATTCTGAATAGCTTAATAAAGTTATGTAGCTAAATCAAGCTAAATCAAGAGATTGTGCTGGACCTGCTAAGTATATTAAAATATGATATCTGTTTTCCTTTGTTTGGTATGTTTTCATTCCGAGAATGCTACACTTACAATGAGTTTAAAACAAAGTATCATAGATAATTTTAAGTATCAGTGGAAAAATCACCCGATGGTACGTAATCCTCATCGCTGCCTGAACTGTAATCTTCTTCATCAGACATTTTTCAAAGAAATCTAAATCTGAAACCGGAACTCAATATTTATGAGTTGTAACTAATGTACGAAAAAATACATGAGTACGCTATGTTGAGGTACTTTAGTGTACCCTGGTTATAATTTTATATTTATTGCAATCAAATTGGTTTGTTTTGTGTATGTTTACACTTCAGTATAACCAAATAAATATATAGAAATTGTTTTTGTTTACATTTGGGTAATCTTGTATATCGTTTACATTTAATCCCGATCCCGATTTAATTTTACATGTACTACAATGCAGCCACACCCAAATCATGTAATATGACGATAGACTAGAAGGATCAAATGTTAGCCGAATAAAAGGAATAATTCTTCTGATAAGGGTCATTTAAGACCCATCTTATATATATTTTTTTTAAAATATTTATAAAACTTTATATATTTTTAAAATATTTCTATAATCTGTATCCGTAGTAGTCCGAAATATCTGACGTTTTCCAGGCTTTTTTCACGATTTTGATATTTTACGTGCCAGGAAAACGTCAGAACCGGCGCCATTACGAAAACTGGAAATTTCGCCGTCTTCAACCGGACCTGATTTTAGATACTTGCGAACTGAATTAAATGCCGAACTTACAATTTATCAATAGCACAATGCTTCTAATACTCACCAATATCGATGAAAAGGAAATATCACTCTACATTTCGATACAGGTCTTGCAAGATTTCAAAATGCACGAATTGTAAACAAAACTCGAGGGTCTGATAAAATGTTTTCACCGGACTGTATATTTTGTAAACAAACCATAAAAACGATGTTGATGAGTACTAAAGGCATTGTTCTATTGATAAGTTGTGAATTCAGCATGTAATTCGGTTCGCAAGTATCGAAAATCAACCCGAGAATGCCGCCTCCAGTTGGAGGCGGCGAATTTCCAGTTTCGTAATGGGGCCGGTTCTGACGTTTTCCTGGCACGTAAAATATCAAAATCGTAAAAAAGCCAGGAAAACGTCAGATATTTCGGACTATATCCGTAGTTGTACGTCACGGAATCCCCTTGGGCTTTAATGTGACGGAGATCGTGTTATTATGAAATCAGAATTCAAATTCACAAGTTAATCAGTTAAACAATATCAAAATTTTGATGTAAAAAAGCAATTAACAGTGCAACATTTAACTCTAGACACGACATTGTCCGGACTTTTTACTACCATTTCTAATTGTGATGTCCAAAAAAATTATAGGACTAGATGGGATTTCTTAGCAGTATCACATGGTCTCATGTTGAACTCAAACATCTTTTTTTTCTCAAAGATATGGAGTCCTAAAAGTCATAATTCCATAGGAAAATGGTGGATTTTTTAGTCCTAGCAACTATCCCACCTTTCTCCCATGGGAGAAAAAGTGTCAGATGGGATATTTTCTCCCATTGGAATTTTTTCTCCACACATTTGTTCAAATAGGATAATCCCACAAATATTGACAATGAGACATTTTCTCCCATACATTGTCAAACATGGGAAATATCCCATAGATTCTCATGAGTGGGATATCATTATCAGATTCTTGGGATATATCCCATGTTTAACAATGTATGGGAGAAAATGTCTCATTGTCAGTATTTGTGGGATTATCCTATTTGAACAAATAGTTGCTTTACTATATACATTTTATAACACTGCAAATTCCGGGGGGGGGGGGGGGGGGCTCCGGACCTCTGGATCCGCGCATGCACGACGAAAAGGCGAGGACAGGAGACTCAATTCCAAGAAATGTAAGTATATCAATATTTAGGAACCGAAGTATCTGGGTTTTTTTTTTCAGAAACACCAAGTCATATATTGTTTTGTGGGTAGCACGTGACCTGTGTGTTATGAGGCGCCGTTTTGGTATTTACTGACATGAGTGATATCACCTATTCGAATAGGTGATATCACTTATTCATTTGGTGATATCTACTGATGTCACCTATTCAGATTCTGAATTGGTGATATCACCTATTCAAATAGGTGATATCACCTATTCAAATTATTTATGAAATAACAACTGCTCCCAGGACTTTTCGATGACTTTCACTTTCGTTTTTTAACTTCCGGGGTACATGAGTGTTCATGTAGAAACAAGCTTCACAGTTGGTTTTAAGCACCGAAGTAGAATTATTAATATTATAACTTTTTTGTCTATCAATAAATATAGCAAAACTAATACTGCAAGTAAAATTTATAAAATTAATATAACTTTAAAGGAATCGATAACATAAGGTATTCAAAATGTCTCGGACTAAAACGCAAGGGAAAACTGGACAGCCTGAATTTGCTTGGGGCCAATGGAAGGGAGCATTCATTATTTAATGCTGTAAGAAATGCAAATAGGCGATATCACCTATTTGAATTGGTGATATCACTAATTCAAATTGAATAGGTGATATCACTAAATCAAATAGGTGATATCACTTATTCGAGTAGGTGATATCACCTATTCAGATTGAAAAGGTGATATCACTTATTCGAACATGATAGGTGATATCACCAATTCGAAAAGGTGATATCACCTATTCGAATAGGTGATATCACCTATTCGAATAGGTGATATCACCTATTCAATTTGAATGAGTGATATCACTAATTGGAATAGGTGATATCACCTATTCCAATTAGTGATATCACTTAATGGTAATAAAAATACCAAAACGGCGCCTCGGAGTGTGTACACATTGAGACTGTGTGTCGATCGCATCATCTCGGGCCTTTCCGTCAGAGGTCGGAAAACAACCTCGAAATTGAATTAACATCACCGGATGTTAAAAATTTATACAACATGGAGTCGCTTCCTATTTATTTAAGTATTGGATAGACGGAGTTGAAAGTCCTTTTCTTTAGTATATTTTAGGTTTACAATATCTTTACATTCAATAAAGTTAAACTCCATACTCAACGGATATGAGGTCTTCCCATTTATTTCAATGTTCTTGAAAAGGGGGGTTGTCATGGCGTATACGTAATACATTTAATACAATACAATAATACAATACGAGGTTGTTTTTCCGCTAGTCGGAAAGGCCCGAGAAGTTGCGATTGACTGTGTGCAGCCGAAAGCTGATTCGTGTCTTATATTCCGCGGACGCGCTTAATTCTGCGTCAATATCACAGAATGGCGAATATCACGTCACGTCCTTTCAGCCAATGAAAATTACGAAAATAATCTTCTTATATAATAAGTAATAACATATATTTAAATTAATTTTACTATATACACTGTAATGTGATTGGCTGTAACTGCACATATGAAGGCTAATTATAAGGTTAAATTTTACTCTTAAAAATCACAAAAAATTTAGGAACTTTTGGGGGCTTTGTCCTGGACCTACTGGGACCCCAAGATTCTCTGCCTCTTAAAAAATAATTTACAAACCCCCACCCCCACTAAAATCCGCCTCTGATTGTTTATAATCTTACAGAGAATTTTTGCAAGGGCGGCATGTGTCGTGAATTTTGCAATTTGTTATCCAAAATTGAATAGAAATATACTTTAGCAAATTTTATAAATCCTAAAAAAAGGTTTTGGCTGTTAATGACCATTTTCCGGATAAAACGGATATTACAACCAGGCGTTTTTACATCGAGTCTTTCAGTGATAATTTTGCTGATTTTTTTTCAATTCAGAAAATATGACAATCGTAGAGTACTTTTTTCTAATTTAATTGAAATTGTTAAATTCTTCTCGATATTTAAGTAAAGGTAATGTGTTTACGAGAAAATTCGAGAGCCGCCATATTTGGATGATCGCTTGTCAAAAAAAGCAGGAGTCCAATGTAATTTATTGAAAAATAGTCAATGACCAAGACCTCTCCTTGTTGTTGAAAAGAAAATACGCATTATCAATGATTTTTTCTGTCGTTTGATAGCAGTTGACAGCAATGGATCACGGAGATAGTCCAGCATCGTCCCTTCAGTCAACCGGCGACACAGGCCAGCTCTTGCAAGAATTACTGAATCTTCAGAAATCAAACGGTAAACATGAGAATATGAGTCATACAATTATGAGATAATCTCCCTTTCCACAATTTCTGTTCTGCCTTTAAGTCACTGCCTCTCTTGATGAGTATTTATCAAAAACGTAATTTGTTTTCCCGAATTTCCTCAGTTTATACACCAATAACAATATATTGGTAAACCTAATAGTCAGCATCATTGTTTATTGCTTTAATATTGGCTGTGCACAGCAGAATGTACACAGTTTTATAATTTAGTTAATGGATTGTCTTATCCCCACAAGTACTTATATCCACAATATCTGTTAGCTGCAGAACTGTAGTGTTATGGCTTTATTATTAGTCTTTGACCATAACACTACCGTAATGCAAATATCAGGGTTCGACACTCGGCAAAATTTGGTCTCGCCATTTGGGCAACCTTGGTACTGATTTCAGGTTGCCCGAATGAATTTCAGGTCGCCCAAACAAAATATCAAATGAAACAAAAATGTGCAATTTGTAAAATTTGCTAAGATAACAGAAGTTGTGCTTTTCGTATTATAAAATGTAAACCAGACATTTTTCGAATGTCAAAAGCTGTATTCCAGTATTTTATCGAAGAAAACAAGCAACAAATATTATAAGCAGAATCAGAATGCTAATTAGGCTTAAAAAATATGTTTGATTCCTGTAATATTCCAAATAAATCAAGGATTGGTAGGTCGTTTTTTTTGTTTTGTTTTGTTTTTTTATTTTTGTTAATATGTACAATCTCACCTCACATATTGACACAAAATAAAGTTTCTAGTTTAAAACAGTCATTTTCACTTACCATAAAGGCCTATATAAATGTGGTCAAACATCCCTGGACTGAATTAACCAGGTGTGATGTTTACAGTGGACACCCAACATGGCTTTCAAGGCCTTTTAAAGTTTATTTTAAATTATTAAACATTATTACTGAATATTCCCAATTCGTCCCAGGTCGTCATTTGGGCGAGCCAGGCTGAAAATCAGGTCGTCCAAAATCATTCCGGGATGGAAATGACGAGGTGACGAGCGTGAATGTCGAACCCTGAAATATGGTGCAATTTATGGCGCAAGATTTTCTGCGCACTTTTGGGGTGAATTTCTCCACTTTCCACCATTGGTTAATCCAATACATTTTACTCCCTAATTCTAGACATATTTTTTAACCAATTTAAACTGTTTATTTTATCAACTTCCTAACCCTTAACAATTGTCTCTACAGACTAATAAATTCGCTTGTTTTGAATTTTCTGCCATCCGACAAAAATTCAAAACAAGTGAGATAATGGGTTTGTAGAGACAACCATAAAGGGTTAGGAGGTGAATAAAATATATGGTTTGGTTAAAAAATGTGTCTAGAATTGGGGAGTGAAAGTGGAGAAATTCTCCTCAATGGTGTGCAGAAAATGTTGCGCTGTAAATTGCAATGTATTTGCATTACAGGATCTGTAGCATTATGGTCAAAGACTAATATATAAAACCATAACGCTACAGTTCTGCAGCTAAAGATCAGTGCACTAAGTGTATTATGATCAGCTGATGACAGATTTAGGCTAGTGTGTCCACTTGACTTAATATGTTGATGTTGATTGCCATTGGGGCAAGTGCAGTAAGTTGTCCATTACTGGATAATTTTATCTATTTACTTTTAACTTAGATCTGCCTCCTCAATCTGCATGAGACATTTGGAATGTGTAGACTGTGACATCACATCATGTTAGTTGCATTACCTTAACAATGTCTGAAAAGAGCAAATTTTAACCAAAAAAAAGTTAACTTGTCTATTTATCTGCAATATCCATGATATCTGTTACCTACAATGCAATGCGAATATCGCTGCTAACTACTTTCTCAAGGTACCAACAAACATTCACCAAATAATAAACTCACCTTGAGTTTATTATGGTGAGTTACTTGTGAAAAAATCATTTGGGTCAATGTGTACAGTCTGAATTTTCTCTTCACTCAGGCATTGCTTTAAGAGCTCGCAGTGTTGAGTGGTGCTTTGCGCCACTGGCTGCGCTCGCTATTAGACATAGTTTCACATCCATTTTAGAGGTTAGGGTTAGTTTTTCCACACTATTTGACAGATTATGATTAGTCCCGCACCCACCGAAAAGATAATGGTTAAATTAATTAATAAATTAGTTGAATCAACCATTCAATGATTGACTCTACAAACCTATATATTTACCAAAGATCTTTGAAATTCAGCTTCATGGGCATCAGATGCAGGGCTCTGACATTAACAATTTTTTCCTGCTTGTCCATGTTGACCTTTCAGACATGTGACTGTGAAATTTACTTGTCCAAACAAAATTTCTACTTGTCAATGTTAAAAAAAATAAAATAAAGACACCTTGAAAAATATTGTAAATCAATTTTTTTTAAAAAAATGGAAAATAAGTGATATTTAAGAATAATGAAACTCTTATTTATAGGCCTATCCACAGGAAGTTTGACTGTACCACCTGGTCCACCACTAAACCAAGTCACAGACAGGTAACAAGATTGTGTCTCCACTTCACTTCTCAGAAGGTCAATTTTTTAAAAGTCTTACTACTTTATTTTTATTTGTTCAGGTTTGATCAATCTCTTTAAAAACATTTTTATTTGTTTAAAGAAAAAAAAATACGAAATTTATTTTTAATCCTAGAATAGGGAAATCTGCCAGTAAATTTCAAGAATGAGTGTACAGGTTCATTAGAGAGTACAACCAGAGGCTGAAAGATTATAAATTGTTCTAGAATGTTCGTTTAAATAGCAGAATGTTTCTTAAATGTGTCATGCTTACATGTGAATTGATGTATTTTTAGCACTGAAGTGCCAGGGTCAGGTGATGCAACTAACCCAACATTGGCAGAATTAATGATGACAATGTACGACAACCCCGTACCCCGGCAGCTCATGTAAGACTTAAAATCGACTTATTTCTTAATAGTGCTTATCAAGTAAGACCTAATTAAAATATAAAATTAACTCATTTCATTACAGAGTTATTTTACCTTTGATAACAGCATTATTCATTTCATTTGCTTGCTACATTTAATTTGATATAAATCAAGTTATTAAGGAATTTACATGTATGAAAATGTAATTTTAACTCAGCACATGTACAAAATATTATTTGGAGAAAAGAAAGTACATGTATATGTAGTACTTCTGTGAAGTACACAATAACTAAAATAAGTATTCAAAAAAATTTGATAAGAGAGAATCTGATTTATAGAAGGGATGCTTTCAATTTTTATAGTACTCTACAAGGGAGTGACACAGCCAATAGTTTTAGCGTATATGGAAGAGAGGTAGAAATCATCACAAGTAAGCCGAACGAATCCGTCAGCTCTCAGGCCAAGACAGGCAGCAATAAGGTAACAGTCCTAAAGAAAATAGTCATGTGCATTAACTGACTAAAAAAGGAATAAATTTTTGAATTATTTATAGCAATCCAGTTTATGCATTCATTTTATCTGAGTAGAGGTTTCAGTGATCTTTTGTTGACTAAAGTTTGTGTTCTTTTTGTCACCCATGTACATGAATATACCATGTTTTGGGTTTATTTTCAAAATAAATGAATGACAAATAAGTTTTAGAAGATGATATGACACATGTAGCCTGATTGCTGATCTGGTTTTAGGTGAAGACGACTCCTGTTGTGAAGTTTGAATGGGAATCCGTGTACTATATAGGAAATCTAGTCACTCTACACAGACTTAATGTATACGCTGCATACTCACTTAGAGGTACAATTTGTACTATTTAGAGTTAAAACCTGTCTTATATAAATATGTCAGTTAATATACAGTAAAACATATTTATAACGAAGTGCCAGAGAAGGATTATTTTGATTCTTAATAAATGTAATTCATTATATCTGTCAGTATTACAATACAGTTTAAAGTCACAGAAAATGAAAGTCACTTTGCTATAAGCTTCAACTCATTATAAATGTGTTTGCTATAAGCGTGTTTTACTGTATATATACCTGTATGACTTGTTGAATATTACAGTACATACATATCTAAGACTAAGAAAAAAAACAACTCTAGGTCGAAATCTGCAGTCTTTTATACTTACAAACGTAAATGCTGTTTTATAAAGAGCTTATTGATAAAATTTAATTTTCAGTACATTGTGTCTATTTTTTGTGTTTAATTTTGTTAAATTATATTATTATACTTTCATGTTAAATACTAAAATCTGATTGGTTTAGATACATTTAACAATCCGTAATATTACCCTCAGCGTTAGCAACACACTTGACAACGGGTAACATTACGAAAATATCACATGCGTTCAAATCATGCGCGTACGGTTCACCGTAGAATTCTCAAAACGTCAGTTGTGCGTTTGAAAGAAGCCGAATAAACGACGTCAATAAAAGCTTGCGTCCGATGTGGCTTACTTGAAAAAGACAAACGACAGACGAAACATCCTTGCGAGTGCAAACTTTAGGTGATAAAGGACTTTTTGAGTAGCAAACAAATAATAAAGAGGTTGGTAAATCTTTTACGAAGCTTTCCTATTGAGAAAAATAGAAGTGGGGAGTTTGAAAGCTTTCTAAGCGTGAAGTTAACGATGATCTCCGAATTTTTTAATGACATCCGAAATCAATAGACATTCAGTATAATAAAATAAATAGTGCACGTTTTTGAGGGTAACAGTTGAAATTGACACCCCGCGGAAAACCATTGTCAACCTCCGCTGACGCGTCGGTTGACAGTGGTTTTCCTTGGGGTGTCAATTTCAACTGTTACCCTCAAAAACGTGCACTATTTATATAATACATACATGTATATGTAAGATTGATATCACTGTGTCTTAATAATGGAGTGCAAATGACTTGAGAATATTATATTCTTTTTATCACACAGTAGTGTATACATGTATGTAGTGAAAGGCCTGTTTGATGTTTGTTGTAGGTAAATCTGGGGGTGTGGTTCGGATCATCAACAGGAAGACAGCTGAGAGGGCTTTACTGAAGGACCTGACAGGGCGGGTGGTGGACATAGCTTTTGCTTACACTGATGATGTCATCCTAGCAGCTGTTGATGAAATAGGAAATCTACTTGTACACAATATCAAAGAGGGAGATGATAAAAAGCTTCAGTATCCTCTGTTTAATTATGAATTAAGAAGTATTTGTTGTTTCTTTAATTGTTGACTGTTTATGCAGTAGTTAAAGTTTGATCTGTCAATTGAAAACTGATATCTCAAGATATTTAAAATACTGTGGCTGTGTCATATCGCTAATATGCCACTTAGAATGTCAACTGTCTGTATGCCTGCCTGTTTGTAAAAAAAAAAAATATATTTTAAATTGTTATTTCTCCTTCAGTTTGATGTTGTATTTCAATAAAACTTAGTACACAAAATAAGATTACATCAAGATACATTTGAATCTGTTTTGATAACAGTTTTTTTTTATTTCTATATCATGTAGCATATATATACTTATATTTTTTTAACTTCTGTCATAATACTACAACTACAGGTTTTATTCTGATTCAAATAATGCTTGGTACAAAATTGATACATAGCAGATATGATTAGCTGAAAATAGATAATCAGGTGAAGGTATCAAAGCATGAGGTCACATTTATGAAAGACGTTTAAGATTGTTACGGTTACATTGTGTTAACTGCATGGAAACTATAGAGACTTTGAATTTGCATGTTTATATCATTTTTTTGGTTCAGTAATGCACTGCTCTGATTTTTCTTCCACATGGACTCTGCAAACAATGCAGTGAATGTTTTTCCATTGTAGATAGGTTTAATTTTATGTCATTTGAACTAAACACATTTGTCACATTCTCAGAATCTTAAACTGGATACAAAAAAAAAAAGATTAAGAAAATATAAAATCATACTTTTTTTTTGTCAATAGTGTATCAATACAGAGGTTAACACTGGAATCTTAACAAAACATGGAAACATGAAATAGAGACAGAATTGTGTCCTTGACCTTGTAAGAGTACCGTTATTGCTGAAGGTCACTCGCCCGCGGGGGACCATCTCTACAGAGTACCACCGTGTGATCTGGTGCCCATTCATCCCGGACGATTGTGACGACAGCTCGGTGACGGAATCCTCCACTCAGGACGCCTCCCGAGTACTGGTGCTGACACATGGAGAAAGGGTATTACCTCTCGTATAATATTATAGTAGTTAGCTGTCTATGAATGGGCTGAGCAAAGCTAAGGCCCCTCTTTCTGAGAACTTTCTTATAGCATTACTATGTGTAAGTTAATGCAAGATTTTTTATAATCTCCCTTTCTCTGCAGTTTTACACAGAAGTGATTTTATCTTTCAGTGTGAGATTTGGAATGTTGACATGGTGACAAGAGAGCATGGCAGTGGACCGATTTCTGTAGATGATGTGGAAATTGGACTCATTAGAATTGACAGTCACACACAGGTTACGTCTGCCTAGTATTAATCAAACAAATGTGATTAGCATGATTTTTTTTAAAAATGTAAAAAGTGAAGAAAATGAAAATCACCAATTTTCTTCATTGTGAATTTTGTGAAGGTAAGACTTGTGATATTTATCTTATTTAGTTCACAAGAAACTGGTGTACATGTACTGAATTTGAAGAAGACATGTTTCAATGTTTCCATCCTTTAAGATGATATTAGAGGTTGTCATTGTGTTGTAGGCTGTGATGGATGACACCTTTCAATGTTTCCATGCTATAAAATGATGTTAGATGTTGTTATTGTGTTGTAGGCTGTTATGGATGCTGCCTTCTCTCCTGATGGTACAGCCCTAGCTACAGCCAGTCTAGATGGAGAAGTCAAATTCTTCCAAGTCAATATGAGTGAAAGTACCTCACCGAGGTAATGTCTTCTGGAGTTCAGGAACACATCGTTATACCAAACTGGCTTATAGGCAAATTAAAAAGAAATGTTTTCTTTTATTAAGATATAATACTGCAGTATTACAATTGTTGGATAAAACAAAACAGTTTTGATAGTCACTTAAGGAATATTCTTTAAACATATTACTGCAAATATTTGAATTTGTTGAAAACGTGAAATCTTCAGTCATTCATTTTTGGAGCATCAGGGCACATAAATTTACATGCAAATAATACTTTGAATTCCATTCTATATATTATTTTATTAAAATTTGTGGATGTTTTTTGTTTATTTTGAATTTTCATATTAAATTTTTACATGTATGTACATGTACTATTTCTCTGAGTGACACTATTATGATTTTACCCTGTAGATGTTTACACCAGTGGAAGCCACATGAAGGGAAGCAGTTGTCTTCCTTGTTTTTCCTTGATGATCACAGGAACTCGAGTGCTGAGTAAGTATGTTTAGAATTCTCAGTCCCACCAAAAATGAGTACTTCTGCACTAGCTCCAATAATCAATGCTGGCATAATGTCTTCCCTTCTGAATGAGGCTTGAAAAAAAGAAAAACCTTAATTTGGTTTAGTAGTGAATCCAGTTTCAACCAAGAGCTTTGTATTCATGTGATACTGTAAAATGGGGTCAAATTTTTGTAGTTTGAAGAAAAATTATTGGTTCATGAGTATTTGGTTTTATGATTTAAGAAGTGTTGAGATATTAATAAATATTAAAAATTTTACATTTCACGGAGGACACAAATTCTACGGTCTCTTCGTGTCACAAAACAATAAAAATCCCACACAAAAATTAGAGATTTCACTGTAAATAATTGTTTTTCTTTATTCTACAGTACCCAGTTTTGGAGATTTGCTGTCACTGGAGCTTGTAACAATCAAGAAATCAAAATCTGGAGCTGCGAGTCCTGGGTTTGTCTTCAGACATTAAGGTAGGGTTTGAGTCCTGAGTTTGTTTGCAGACATTAAGGTAGGATATGAGTCCTGGGTTTGTCTTCAGACATTAAGGTAGGGTGTGAGTCCTGGGTTTGTAAACAGACATAAAGTTAGGGTGTGAGTGTTAGGATTGTATTCGGACATTAAGGTAGGGTTTGAATTTTGGGTTTGTATACAGACGTTAAGGTAGGGTGTAAGTCCTGGGTTTGTATACAGACATTTAGGTAGGATTTGAGACCTAGGTGTCTTCAGACATTTCGGTAGTGTATGAGTCCTGGGTTTGTATACAGATGTTAAGGTAGGGTGTGTGTTATGAATTTGTTTACAGAAATAGAGTTAACAATCTGGTTTAAGGTGAATGTGAGTGGTGTTTTTCTACAGACATTAAGTTTGATTCTGAGTTTTGAATCTCTTTATAAACAGACACCACACAGGTCTAAATATATTACCACTATTTTTACTTCAGTATATATAGATATTTATTGTTATTTGTTACCAGGTTCATGTGTCCACCAGATCTACCAACAAACTTCAGTGCTGAGCCATGTATGAAAGCAGGATTAGACCTCAGTGCTAAATATTTAGTGCTGTCTGACATCAAGAGACAGGTAATGTGTCATATGGAAGTAGTGTTGTCTGACATCAAGAGACAGGTAATGTGTCATATGGAAGAAGTGTTGTCTGACATCAAGAGACAGGTAATGTGTCGTATGGAAGTAGTGTTGTCTGACATCAAGAGACAGGTAATGTGTCATATGGAAGAAGTGTTGTCTGACATCAAGAGACAGGTAATGTGTCATATGGAAGTAGTGTTGTCTGACATCAAGAGACAGGTAATGTGTCATATGGAAGTAGTGTTGTCTGACATCAAGAGACAGGTAATGTGTCATATGGAAGAAGTGTTGTCTGACATCAAGAGACAGTAATGTGTCGTATGGAAGAAGTGTTGTCTGACATCAAGAGACAGGTAATGTGTCGTATGGAAGAAGTGTTGTCTGACATCAAGAGACAGGTAATGTGTCGTATGGAAGAAGTGTTGTCTGACATCAAGAGACAGGTAATGTGTCGTATGGAAGTAGTGTTGTCTGACATCAAGAGACAGGTAATGTGTCATATGGAAATAGTGTTGTCTGACATCAAGAGACAGGTAATGTGTCATATGGAAGGCTTGTATAGATCTTCTGTTGTGTGGAATATGATACAAATTAATGTTGGTAGACACACACAATGCAATTTGTTTTTGGCCATTTGAATTTTGAGAAATGTTAAAAAAAAATAGAGTACTGTGCTCAAGATTAATTTCATATGAAAATGTTTACATGGAATTGATTTGTAAAGAGAACTTTTTTAATAGAATCAACAATATTCTACTTAGTAAGGAAAAGAACAATGAAGTGAAATAATTTACATGAATTTCATTCAGATTTACTAAAAGTATTTTTCACTGTTTGAACTGCATATTGACACATATTTTTATTAGGTGTTATACGTGTTACAAATTCACCAAGACTCGGCAGCTAACACAGCTCATGTGAGTTCTGTCTCAGAGTTCCTGTTAGCTCAGACCTGCCTCAGCTTTGCCATTTTGGATGCCAGCAAGAAAAAGTTCAAAAAGGTCACCGAGGAGTCTCATCTGGATGAAATAACAACTGGTAAGGTACTCCACATAGATGAAGATATCATATACCTGTAATTAATTAAAGATACAGTGTATATAATTAGAGTCTGGAGGGTATAGAATATCACATGACTTGTGTATCTGTAGGTGAGTTGGATAGAGAAGAAGGAGGAGAGGATCCAGATCACAGACATGAGGCCACTACTGCATCAGGTGTCCAGATCAAACTCTACACTGTCCATCCCAAGTAAGACATTAATACCGATTCCAACATAAATCACACTGACACCAAAGTAATTGGTGAAAAAATTATCTTTTTCACTGTTATTTTAGGGCCCTGCAGGAGTTGTTGATAAGATTTCGTCCGGAGTCGTCAGCGCCACCTGCCCCCACTCCATCTGTCAGCACCGTCTCTCATGATGATACAGGTACACATAAACTACATGTAGTTACTTTTTAATGGATAAGAATTCTTCAGTTACTCCCATTCTTAAACATCATGCTATTCCCATTTCAAGTTCTAAAACTTACTTTCATATGTGATTTTTTTTTATTAAAGAAAAAGCATGTATGTGCCATATTTTTTGCTTCTTCATCTCGATTTATTTTTCAAAATTATTTTGCTTTGAGTAATGCAGTGAAAGGTCCATGTGTTTCCTTGTGTTTCATTCCCAAACATTGTTGCTTTTCATTTCCTGTTAAGGACAAAAGAAAAAGGGTAAAGGAGTGCCTGTGTTGTATAGTGTATATGTTTGTTCTGTGTGACACTTCTTGTAAAATTTGTTATTTTATGCTCAGCAGTTTCTCAGGATGAGGGATAGACACACCATGAATGATAAATTCTTAATTTTTGAATAAAATTTTATATGTTTTATAAGTTAAGGTCAAAGAAAAAAAAAGAATGTGAAATTGTGTTTTAATTTACACTGTGTACATAGTGTAGATGAGTTGGGTGACAGATTTAATGAGGAGTTTTGTGTTGTCATGTGGCCCCTTTTCACTGTATGAAGTCACATCAGTGTAATCATTACAATGACATATATCAACACATATTGTAGATCATTAACATTCATTTTACTGTAATATTTCTGTGAATGTTTTAATTGTCCTGTCTATAATATTTCCGTCTTCCCTTCCCATGATTCATTTTACCCCTGTCTTATTTTAATTACAGCTACATGTAATTTTGCATTTCATGAAATCAGTCTGCCTTATTTCACTCATTATTTTGTTTATGAACATTTGTTTCAACCTTTCAATTTTTTGTTCCCCTGGAACCATTTCCATTGCATACATACTTATAATGTATCAGAGAACACAAAACAACTTGTTCCTGATCTGAGAGCCTGTAGTAGACTGTAATCTGCTGGTGTATTAACAGGTCTGCAGGACGCCCTGTCGGACATGAGCTTCAGTTTGGACAGCAGTCGAGTGGACACATCTCTCCAACAGGACCAGCCTGTTCTCCTTACACCTGATGCTTTTACTTCAGCCAGTCCCAGGTATGGCTCCATGTCAGGCATCTCTTTCTCTCTTGTATTGTATATTTGTTTTGGAATTATTGATTTTTTAAAATCTAAACCTGCAAGGTGCTGCTGAGTTGAAATTCATAGAATGTGTGAATTTTTATTTACAGAAAAGATCTGTCTACGACGGACCCCATCAGAGCAAGTGGATCAAGTACCAGTAGCTTTACACAGGTGACAGGCCTGAATGAAGAAATGTTCTCCCCCCACAGCTCAGGGGATCAGTCTGTCATATCAGAAGGCAGCACAATCACCCAGACCCCCACAGAGAAAGATGCCCCTTCACCTTGCAAGTACCAGCCAGACATCACCCCAACTAAACTTCCACAGACCGGGGAAAGTCTGACCAGCATAGAGGAGAGCACTGCGGAGGACAAACCCTCAGCTCTACAGAAAGTTTGTGTGGACGATTTATTTGATAGTACCAGACAAAGTCTGGAACAGACACTTAACAGCACTGATTCCACTAGGAAGTCTATAGAGAACACAAGTAGTACCACAGGGTTTGAAGTGGGACAGCTTGGGGCCCAGAAACTGTCAACGATGAAGGAGTCATACGATGAGAATGATGAGGAGGTAGCAGAGGTTTTAGGAGAGTCGTACAAAGAAGAAGAAGTCGAGGAGAACTTACAGGTGTGGATACACAATGGAAACAAATGAAATACAATGTATTGTAGAACATGTCAAGTAGAATAAGAATAAACCTAAGGAGACTTTGCTTGTCTAACTTTGCCCTATGACTTGTGTTGCAAATGTCAATGTACACTCATTGTTGAATACTGTAATGGATCCATTCACTGAACTTCTGATACAGAGATGTGTATACCGGGTATTTTGAGAGCATTTAACTAACATTATGTAGATTTTATAGGAATAATTTTCTTTGAAGCTATAGTCATACATTTCCAGAATATGTTATACTATTGTAGCCTTCTATAAGGCAGTCATGTTATACATGTTTGTGTATATTTTTTGTTTTCTCTAAGTAAAATGTTTTATTGGTACATTTTGTAATAGGAGGACCCACAGGGCACCCAGCCATTTGAGGAGCACAGTGGGGACATGGAGTCAGGTTCTATGCCCACATCCTGGCCTAAACCTCCCGACGTTAACACAGAGACACAGGTGCTGGAAGATATACAGAATGAGTAAGGACTATTATTATCAGTTCTCATCAATATTTAGTTTTGCTCTAAAATAATTGCTAAATGCTGTGCATCCCCACATGTGAAGTTGTGTTTGCAAATTTAGCAGAACTGACAAATTTGAGATAACTTGATCTCTCCATCATTGATAATTACAGATAATACTGTAATGAGGAAAGATAACTCAAGGTGTTCGTGATTTGTTATTTTGGCTCTCTAAATTAACAGTGAGAAATACATGCATATATTCTGCAAGTTAATTGCATGTAAATTTATACATGAGTATGTTTTTACATTAACATTAACTTTAATTACATTAACAGTAAATTAACTTGTAGGGATGTTTACATGGAGGATGATGATGTACAGATAGAGGAAGAAGAAGAAGAATCCAAGGAAGACAATTACGAGAAGGATGAGGACACACAGAATGTACAAGATGGCAGCAGTGAAGAAATAGAGCAGATAGAGGAACAGAGTGAAGATTTACAGAGGTCAGTACTTAATTAGGCTCTCTGTATTCCTGTTAGAGATTTCTATAATAAATGTGGATATTAAACTTTGTCTTTTGTTTTGTAGTCCCAAAGAAGCACCTGTTGCTGCTCCTGTAGCTAAATCAAGGTAATACTTATCCATTCTCTTAACATTTTATGGAGTTTTGATACTATTCCTTGTGAAAAGCTAGCATTGTAAGAAAAGAGGTGATAGTGATGTTTTTAGGGATTGTGTCAAAACCCTGAGATTCAGCAACAAGTATCTTGTTCTCTGTCTAGATCTAGGATTTTTTGAAACAGATTTTAATTTTTCTTTATGACAGGGAGATAATTAAAGAAATCCATACCAGAGAAATTATCAGGGAAAATGTGGACAAAGAATCCATTACATCTGTACGTATAGCTTTGTTAGATCATTTGTGTAGGATTCAAACAGAAAAGTTTTTTTGTTATATACATGTATTGAAATACTGACATATGTCATTAATAGATGATTACTTTTTCAACACCTGAACCATAATATCCTTATTATTCTGGCAGTGTTTACTATAGACTTTTTCCAACAGTTGAATGAGAATATCCAGAGTATTCTGGCAGTGTTGGAGGCTCAGAATGCTAAGATTGAGTCCCTACAGTATCAGCTCGCTGAGCAAGAGGCTCGTCAGAGCGAGATTAATCGACGACAGCTAGAAAATGAGGTCATATCACAACAACCACAGAATATCGAGGAACATCTGGGTAAGCTGGAAGGCATCGTGACGTCCAGAGTGGAGAGGATGTTTACACAGCATGCTCAGAAAGAGAGTATCCTTACAAATAAACAAACTACAAATATAACAAGTCTTAATCCTGTCATTATTTTATTTTCATTCTATGGCAGAAAGGTTACTTGATTCTATGTTAAAAAAAACTCTTTGATTGAAGTCTTGTGTAGTTTCCTTAATGAGACAGACCAGAGAGTGAGAGATTTACTCCAACAGACAGAACAGCGAGATAAACAGAGACAGGACAGACTACAACAGACGCTTATACAGGCCATGAACAACGCAGTAGCCAGCAACATGGAGAAACAAGTTAGACAGGAGATGAACAACACTATTCTACCCAGTATGTACAAACTTATAGGCAGCATTACTATGAAGTATGTACAAACTTATAGGCAGCATTATGATAAAGTTTGTACAAACTTATAGGCAGCATTATGATAAAGTATGTACAAACTTATAGGCAGCATTATGATAAAGTATGTACAAACTTGTATAGGCAGCATTATGATAAAGTATGTACAGACTTGTATAGGCAGCATTATGATAAAGTATGTACAAACTTATAGGCAGCATTATGATAAAGTATGTACAAACTTATAGGCAGCATTATTATAAAGTATGTACAAAGTTATAGGCTGCATTATTATAAAGTATGTACAAACTTATAGGCTGCATTATTATAAGGTTTGTACAAACTTATAGGCAGCATTATGATAAAGTATGTACAAACTTATAGGCAGCATTATGATAAAGTATGTACAAACTTGTATAGGCAGCAAAATTATAAAGTATGCACAAACTTTTTAAAGGCAACAAAATTGCAAACTGATTGGCTAGAATCTTGCTAATTATCATAAAAATAGCTTTATTATATATTTGTGCCAAAATATTTTGGATATTAGATTTAATTTGTATACATTCTAGTATATAAATTGTTAAAGAGACTAAGAGAATACAAAATGAAAAAGATCGGCATTGAAATTTGACTTGAATGCTGTACTTTGTTAAGCATGCTTCCATACATGTAGTTTGAATGGCTTGATATAGGGTATTTGATTTTCCTAGATGTGACCAGGATTCTGGAACCTGTGAAGGAACTCATGCATCAGGAGATTGCCCAGAAACTGACTGCTACTGACTCCATCATCAAGGACAGCATAGGGAAGATGGTCAGATCTAGGGTATGTACAGTATAGACAGTAAAGGGAAGATGGTCAGATCTCAGGTAGGTACAGAATGGACACATAGGGAAGATTGTCAGATCTCGGGTAGGTACAGTATGGACAACATAGGGAAGATGATCAGATCTTGTGTAGGTAAAGTATGGACAGCATAGGGAAGATTGTCAGATCTCGGGTAGGAACAGAATAGACAGTATAGGGAAGATGGTCAGATCTCGGGTAGGTACAGTATGGACAACATAGAGAAGATGGTCAGATCTTGTGTAGGTAAAGTATGGACAGTATAGGGAAGATGGTCAGATCTCGGGTAGGTACAGTATGGACAACATAGAGAAGATGGTCAGATCTTGTGTAGGTAAAGTATGGACAGCATAGGGAAGATGGTCAGATCTCGGGTAGGTACAGTATGGACAACATAGAGAAGATGGTCAGATCTTGTGTAGGTAAAGTATGGACAGCATAGGGAAGATTGTCAGATCTCGGGTAGGAACAGTGTGGACAGTATAGGAAAGATGGTCAGATCTTGGACAGGTTAAGTGTGGACAACATTGGAAAGATGCTTAGATCTCAGGTAGATACAGTATAGACAGTATAGGGAAGATTGTCAGATCTTGAGTAGGTACAGTATGGACAACATAAGGAAGATGGTCAGATTTTGAGTAGTTAAAGTATGGAAAGCATAGGGAAGATGGTCAGATCTTGGATAGGTAAAGTATAGACAACATAGGGAAGGTGATAAGATCTCGGGTATGTACAGTATGGACAACATAGGGAAGATGGTCAGATCTTTGATAGGTACATAAGGTCAACTGTGTAACAAGATTAAATTCATAAATCATATACATCCAAAGTGTATTACTGTACATTTACAATATGCATGGATATGTATTTTTGTATTAGTTATTAAAGTGAAAGGGTATGAATTTTGGAATAATTGAATTCATTTCATATTTACATAAAAATGCTGCTGTTTTAGAACAATTTAGGTCAAATACTTAAGAAGGGAAAGGCAGCTTTCCCTGAGATTTCTATGCTTGATTTTTAAAACTACAATTAATTTACATTTGTATTTGAACACTACTTTTGATTTCTTTGAACACTGTAATATTGATTTTCATTGTGAACATTATATTTGATTTATATGAACACTACTTCTGATTTCTTTGAACACTATAATATTGATTTCTTTGAACTTTATATTTGATTAATTTGAACATTATATTTGATTCATTTGAACCCTGAATTTGATTTATTTGAACACTACAGTTGATTCATTTGAACATTATGTTAGATTTATTTGGACATTTATGTTTATTTTAAGCAAACAATAGAGGTCCTGGGTGTAGCTGATTTTCTTGGGCATTTATTTTATTTTAAGCAAACGATAGAGGCCCTGGGTGTGGCTGCAGGGAATGTATTACAGACCCCTATACAGCTGGCGTATAGGGAAGCCTTCCAGAACATTGTTGTGCCAAGTTTTGACAGAGCCATGCAGAACATCTTCCAGCAAGTCAATGAAGCTTTTGTGAAGGGAACGAGGGAAAGTAAGTCCAATGGCTGCAAACAGAAAAACTCGTGGCTTAAATCTTGAAAGGCATATGAAAATTACGAAGTGAAAACTGACTCACATTTCACAAAATGAATGTTCCATGTCCAAGTTCATTTGACCATTGATTGTCATAATTTAATTGGTGAATTCCCTGATAATCTTTTTATTTCATTTTGATGCTGCATCTTCCTCCTACTAAATGTGACTACAGTTGAACTTTGTTATCTCCAACATCAGTATCTCAAATACCAGGGATATGTTGATATGAGTTGGCAGTCCCAACCACTTTTTCATTAAGTTTTTACCATATGATTGTATGTAAATATCAAACTTTTTCCTCTAATTAAGTATATTCACCTGTATCAAAATTTTCAGAAGTTTATGAACCATTTTCCTACTGAACAACTTGATAAAATCAATGTTTCTTTTGATTCAGCTACCAGACATTTAGACACTCAGCTGAATGAAATGCGTGAGAAACACATGGAGGCTCGTGACCCAATTATTGCTCAGCTACGTAAACTTACAGACAGTTTTCAGTCGTCAGCGGACTCTGTACAACAGCAGGTGCTCTCTACAATACAGAGTAGGATTAATACAGAGATCCAGACAGCTCTCTCCAAGTAATTATCTTCTGTTATTTTGCTTGCTTGACAATCTCTGTTCACTTTATAAAAGTTTGCAACTGTGGGGTCTAAGCTTGCCAACCCTTACATTCTGCATAGGAGACTTCCACATTGAGCATTTTAAAAAAATTCAGAAACTATTTGTACATCTGTCAAAATGATTCATCTGTTTCACAGATATAAGGCATGGATAAGTAAAAACTTAACTATTTCTTTAATGGCATAGATACAGGTAATAAACAAAATGAAATCCTTCTGTGTTCTTCATATGAAATCACAAAATCTAACTTTTGAGCTCCCTTCTTTTTAGACAAGGGCAAGGATGTGAGGGTTGGTGGGTGATCTTTTGAGTTGTGACAATATTCCCTAAACTTACAAAAACATATTCACTAGGAACTGAAGTAGCTTGGATTCAGAGCTTAGATATGACTTATTTAGAAGTGTCCTTTTCAGTTGGGATGAAAAAAAGACAGTTACTAAAGTTATTTCTTCTATTTAAGTTTGAAACCAGCAGTAATATTTCTTGTGTTGACACAATCACCTTCTAGTCAACAAGGAACTAAAATGGATCTTTTGGATTATTCTGGTTGTAATATCAGTTAAATGTGAAAATGTACTGCGATATACTGTGACTGTCTCACTTTATATTGTTGCATACTTACAGTGATACTCTAAACTTGTGCAAGAGTTGTATTTGATAGCCATGGCAGTTTTCTGAAATGTGTGCTTAATATCAAATGTAATCATGAATAATATTAGACTGGTTATCTTCGTACAGTTTCATGATCACTGGTTATCTGTGTACAGGTTTTATGTTCACTGGTTATCTGTGTACAGTTTTATGAGGACTGGTTATCTTTGTACAGTTTTATGAGGACTTGTTTTCTGTGTACAGTTTTATGAGGACTGATTGTCTGTGTACAGTTTTATGAGGACTGATTATCTGTGTAGTTTTATGAGGACTGGTTGTGTACAGTTTTATGAGGACTGATTATCTTTGTACAGTTTTATGAGGACTTGTTTTCTGTGTACAGTTTTATGAGGACTGGTTGTTTGTGTAGTTTTATGAGGACTGTTTATCTGTGTAGTTTTATGAGGACTGGTTGTGTACAGTTTTATGAGGACTGGTTGTCTGTGTACAGTTTTATGAGGACTGGTTATCTTTATACAGTTTGGAGGAGACAATTGTGAGATACGTCAGACAGGCAGTGAAGGAGGAGGTCAGTATAGCGGTGAGGGAACAGGGAGCCAGTATCAGTGATAGTGTACTTAATGCCATGAGATCAGGGGCTGTAACTCCAGTACAAGTCACACCTGACCCCCATCAGCTCCAAACTCAAGTCCTGAATCTCCTCAGACAAGGCCAACTCAATGCAGCATTCCAACAGGTAATCATCAAGGAAAATATTGGGCTTTTTCTTCTATATCAGAATTTCTTCCTTGTAATTCCTTGGTATGAGTGAAAATAGTAATATGCCTGTGTGTAGGCAGTTTAAAAATAGTTAATTAATTTTTTCATATATTGCAGGCATTATCAGCTTCAAATCTTGACCTGGTGATGTTTGTGTGTGAGACAGTCAACCCATCACAGGTGTTTAACCAGAGCCCATGTCCTCTTCAACAACCAGTACTTTTGTCTCTGATACAACAGCTGTCAGCCGACATTGGAAATAACACGGAACTAAAACATAAGTAAGTCAGATGAGTAGAGAACTGAATCGCAAGTAAGTCAAACAAGTACAGAACTCAAACAAAAGTAAGTCAGTCCAGCACAGAACTAAAACACAAGTCAGACCAGTACAGAACTCAAACACAAGTCAGTCAGACTACTACAGAACTCAAACACAAGTCAGATCAGTACAGGACTCAAACACAAGTCAGTCAGATCAGTACAGGACTCAAACACAAGTCAGTCAGATCAGTACAGGACTCAAACACAAGTCAGATCAGTACAGAACTCAAACACAAGTCAGTCAGACTAGTACAGAACTCAAACGTAAGTAATGCAGACCGGTATAGAACTCAAACACAAATCAGATCAGTACAGAACTCAAACACAAATCAGATCAGTACAGAACTAAAACACAAGTCAGACCAGTACAGAACTCAAACACAAGTCAGTCAGACTAGTACAGAACTCAAACGTAAGTAATGCAGACCAGTATAGAACTCAAACACAAGTAAGGCCTTAAAAAATTAACTTGGTTCTCAAGCCCTCCCACATCTCACTTAACAACATTACCCATTTTATCCTCAAATAAATAAAACAAATTTTATCTCATGCGTTTGTATAGTGCAAAAGAAAATCCAGATCCTCCGACCTCATTTAAGATATATACTCCCATCAGTAAAATGTTTGGCGAACATCAAGATGATACAGACTAGTGACCTAGTTAAAAATGGCAAATATGGCCATCAAGTCATTGTTAAATCATTTTTGAAATGAGTCATTTCTCTGATAAAATAATTATATCTAAAGTAAAAAACATGTTTAAAAAAAAAAATTGTGTACATGTACATGTATTTCATTGGCAAATGTTAGCCTTCCTGCATTTGGTAAAATACATATTTTTTAATGGCAGATACTTGGAAGAGGCTGTGATGAATCTAGACACTTCAAACCCTGTTACTCAGGGACACATGAAGGGAGTGTTAATGGGACTGACTCAGAAACTGAAGACTTACATAACAGCTAACCCAAACGACAAGACCACTCGGTCTTTACGCATGTTGCAAATGGCATCCGAGTCATTACTCAGGTGAACAGGGGTCTTCGTAGCTTGTCAAAACTTTTATTGTTATAAAACAGGGATTTTCACAATAGAAAAAGTACTATGTACAAGGAAGAGTTCATGATAGAATAGCCAAGGATCCCTTGAATTTGAGTCTCAGTTAAGCTTGAAGAATGATAGTACATGTAGGAATCATTTATTTTGTGATTTCAGTTTTAATGTTTCACAAGTTTAAAAGTTAGGGAAGTATCTTTCTGTGTAGTTTTAGTACTATAACATACTATATGAGAACATGGTTTATTTGTAGTACATGTAATTGATTAAAATACAAAACTTAAGTCTTATCATTAAGTAATCAATCTTAATTAAGCAATATTATGTTTGAAATTTGTTAAGATATAGAACAATATCTATACAAATAAGATATAGATAAAATCTTGTTACTATTTTAGTTTCTGAAGAATTTTTTTTTAAATTAAAAATCAGATATGGTCTGTAGGCACAGCTGAGGAAAATTCTTTGTACCACATACTAGTTTTCATTTTTCGATTTTGCCATAGCACTGTCTATGACAAATGAGAAGCAAACCTGATTAATGAATTTTATAAATGACTTACAATGTAGATTCAGTGGCTTTTCAATGAGAGGAATTGAATCTTTCTACCATTTATGATAACTACCAATGAAACACATTTTGAACTTTCTCAGATAATATTTTTTTCTTCTAAGGAAGTTTTTAAAAATAATTGTGAACAGTCACTGTGTTTCTGCATTATGTAGGCTATATCTGGGATATCTGTTATGAGAAAAAAGGTCCAATCTGATGATTATTTCATATAACATCTTAAATAGCTTTTGACTGGAAAATGTTTATGTTTCTGGAACTTGCGTTATTGCTGAAGTCTGTGTGTTATTGTTAGTCTAAGTATGAATGATAGTGCCAGAAACAATAAGTCAGTTTAAGAATACATGTAATTGGTTGGTCATACTTGTTTTGTAAACATCAAATAATGTTTACATGTATCAATGTTTTTACTGTGATAAAATACAATAAATATTGTAAGCATTTTCACTTTGTGATTCTGTTGCTAGTATTATGTGGTCAGATGCAATGATCCAATTGAAGGGAAATCTGGAGTCATCATTTGCCCTGCTCTCAATTTGTATAGCATTATTAACATTTTATTTAGAAGAAAGATGAAGTGATGTGTGTTCATGAATATGTCCTTTTCCATGAAAATTCTTCTTTCGACTAAATGACTGTAATATTAGATCGATGGAACAAAAGAAAAACTCAATATTTTCACCATTTTACAATATAATTTTCTAAATGGTCCAAAATATAAATTTCACAGTTGTAAAGAATGTACTTAATGGAAGAACCATTTGATTTCTGAGAGGGAAGGGGGAAGTAATTTTTTGAGGTAGATTATTTCTTTTCATGTCACTGAAGGGCAGATTATTTATTTCCAAGATAATTTTAGGACAAATTATTTTTTTTTCTTCTCTAGAACAAGTTCGACCAGCCAAAAAATAAATAGATTAAAAAATTTTTAAGAGAAAAGAAAATTGCCACTGCCACTGCAAAACTATTTTGTTTGTTGTTTGGGGAGGGAGGGATAGTTGCACCAGGCAAGGACAGATTATTTATTTTCTTGCCAGTTGAGGATGTTATTTTTTAGGATAGATAACAGGGTATTTACCCCCCCCCCCTTAGAATCAATCATCCCCTAAGCTATGATGTATATTAAACAATGTCCACAGCTGTCTGTGAGGTTAACACATGTTTTAGCTCACCTCAACGAAAGGGGAGCTTATGTAATACCATCGGCGTTTATGGTTAAAGCTTTTGGTCAAGACTTTCTCTGACTTGTCTTGTTCAGCGTTGCATGGTTCATGCACCTACATGTAGTGTTATTCATTTTAGAAAAGTTGCTACATTTTCAGCCACTATTTACCATAAGAATGTCCAGGTTAATGTTATTGAGAAGGTTCATTTTAAGTATTCATGAGTCCTATGGTGACCAAACCTGCATGTGTGAAGCATCTAAGGGTGTATGTAAGGGCGATGTAGCAACCGCTAATGATAAAACACCGCCATAAGTTATAACATTAATAGTTGACATTACAGGGGCACAGGTACATATGGGACTTTGATGAAGTATAGGCATTAATTACCCTGTAAACGGCGAGGAGTTTGGGGGCCGCCGTAGGCCCCCAGTGGGTCCAGGGTAGCGCCCTGGTAGGGGTTTAGGGAGGCGAAGCCCCCCAACGGAAAATGGATTTCACGATTTTGAGCATTCCAACCTTTTTTTTTTTATACCAGAGGTCTTTAGATAACTGAAAGTAAGGAGCATTTTTATTTTTTTAGGAGGAATCAAATTTAGAACATGAAGATATTTATTTAAAAAAAAAAACATAAGACGCAAATCAATATTTTACAATAAATAATGAACAAATAAAAATCTATTTTTGGTAAAAGCTAGTCTACACACAAAGAAGAGGTAAATTTTGGTGGACAGCCATAAAAAGTTGACTGCTGTAATGTTAATTCAATTTAATTTTGTTAAAAGACAATTAATGCCACACATATTTTGTTAGTGTGAGTAGAGTTTTATACATGTATCTATTATTAATTACGCTTATACTTGCATGTAGAAATGTAAGGAGTCATACAGTGAAACAGCCCGTTAACTATTGCAGGTTAATATTATTACCTTGCACAGTATTGTGGTCATTTATAAATTCATGTTCTCTATCAATGACGAAAATATCATATTTAGTCGTTTATTATTATTTTTTTTTTACACTTCAGTTTTTATATATTTTTTTTTCTTAAAAAGAACTACGTACGCTAACTCTCGATTCCCGCCTACATTTTACACCCATTTAATTCAATACTTATGGCAACTTGGCCATAAAATCTTTGTTAAATGTAAAGAAGAGTTTAATCGTAATTAATTAATAATTTTAATACCAGTGTTAAATAGTTAATTACTCTTAATTCCAGCTTTTTTTATAAGGGGGGTAGACGATGTTTTCCATTGAAATCAGGCTTGAAAGCTTCAGCATACTTTAAAATATTGTTGGATATGGATAAAAGTACTTTAAACCTTTCCTTATGTTTTACGCATATGAAATTAAACATATTTAATTGATAAATACAATGTTTAAGTTGTAAACCCCTTCGAAATTGGTGAAAAAAAGAGAATTTTTGTCGTTTTTTGTCTGTAAACATATCCCCCCCCCCCCCCCCCCGTGAAACACAAAAAGCTTTGGTAAGAATTTGTGAAATAACAATCCATATTACCTGTAAAAGGGAATTTTTGTTTCACGGGGGGGGGGGGGAGGAGAAGATGTTTTAAAAATATTTGATTTCTATAGTTAAAAACACAAGTTTTACCAAAATTATAGAGTTATCTCTCTTTGTTTTCCCAAATACGAAATGTTTTATGAAATTCATATAAATATCTATATAAATATGAAAAATCATTCAAATATGTTAACTTCTGAAAATTGACTTGGAGGTAGGCGGGAGAACAATACTATCGTTCGCAGTTCTTTAGTGTAGGCACATGCCTTAAGTGCCTATATAATGGCAGCTACGCAACTGCGATTACCAGACTTGCTTCACATGTTGCATCAGACCTAGTCCGAAATATCTGGCGTTTTCCTGGCTTTTTTACTAGTTTTATATTTACGTTTTCCTGGCACGTAAAATATCAAAATCGTGAAAAAAGCCTGGAAAACGTCAGATATTTCGGACTACATATGACCATTTTCCATGCGATTGAACAGGTTAAAGTGTTTGGAGGAAATCCATTTCAAAGTAACTATAAGCCCTATTTCGGTATGCACACAACCAACATTCGTTTGGTGTGGAACGTTGCCTTCCTTGTAGATAGCATTCGTTGAGGTGAGCATAGTATTTGAATTAAATTACCTATGTGTGTTCTTAGTTTGGCATATTTGAATTAAGTCATGCTCGATTTTGTGCACGTTAAATATGAATTGCTCCAAAAACGTGAAGTAGATATACAATGAAATATGAAGATAATAAACAGTGATGAAGCTCAAAAGTCCATTAGAACGATACAAATCGGGAGCAGAGCAAACAGGGACCTCTGAAAACATTGGTAGACACAAGACGCAGTGTTCAGAAGATGCAGATTCATTTTTTTTGTAATTTTCTTCTGTTTTATTTTACTGATTTTGTCAGTTATAATGTATAAATAATAATTTGAGAATGCATGAATACTACGGATTAATTATTAAATTATCAAATGAAAGGAAAAAATGCATTAATTGTAAGTATGGAAGTAAAAATCTTAATTAATAGAACTCACACAAACACCAACAAAATTTTTTAGGTTTTCCTTGAGCACTCTTCAGTACTCTGGTTCTAAAGTTTTGCAATCTATTGTTGGATATAATTTCCGCATACGCAGAAAAAAGTCGAACTGTTGTTTTTCTTTTCTTTAATGGATGACCATTGGTTGTATAGAATGTTTTTTTAAGTAGGTCACAGAGTTTACACAAATTAAACCAAATCTATTAAAACTTACTTCCTGTGGAGGGTTGTCTTGCTTTAGAATATATGGCCTTCTCAAAATTTGTTGATCCCAGAATAATATATCCTTATTTAAAGAGTTTCGTGCTATTTTTCTATTAATTTTATGTTTAGACTTATCAGAAATTTCCTGTTTATTAATACGATCTTAAATGTTCATAGAAAAAATATTATCCAGGACATATTGTGAATGATATACATGTATTTTATCAGATGAGTCTTCTAATTTATGTTATAAGTCCTGCGTTATTCTGTTTCTGATGTTTGTAAAATTATATAAAATGATAAATTACCACTTGTCGAAGACATGAACTTAGTTATCAGAATCTGGGCTTTATTCTTATATGTGTAAAGTTAAGGCACTCTCTAACACACATATATTTTAGTGGTGAATTAAAAAGAATGACAAAATACAGATTTATCAATCTGCACTAAATTAAAAATACAGGCAATAGGAATAAATTTCAATGTTTCAGCATATATCTTTAGATAGTGTTATAATACTTGCCAAATATCTCATTGATATCTCACTTCACAAAAAAGTTATGCCTAAAAATGATGCTAAAATGTCAGGAGTGCAATACCTTTTTGTGACATTTTGAAAATTCAATATTTTTGGAAGATTTGTGAAATAATTATAATGGTTTATGTTGAAAATAAAGACTTTCCTGATAATATTCAAAGTATTGAGCTTTAAATGTAGACTGTAGCAACTTTGTTTGACCAAGTTGTGGTCATGGTTGATGTTGAAAAAATGTTATACCATGTCAGAAGTGCAACAGAAAAAATGTACTGTTGCCAAAAAACATTGATTTTAAAAATCTGAAAGACAATTAAGTCAAAAAAAATTTCATTATGTAAAACAATAACTGATATACAATTTAAAACTTTAAAATGTTATAGAAATCACAAGCAGCATTAATGAGAATCATGTATCTTTGCATACCCAACAATATCAGGAGTGCAACATTTGATGTTTTGCTCCCCATCATGAAAAAAAAACTTTTATCAATATATGATTCTCTGATTTCTATTTTGGAAAATAAAGACACAAAGAACATTTTTACCAAAAAAAATTAATTATAGGGTCTGTCTAAGTTTCAGATCTATATTTCTTTGGTAAGGAATGCAACATATTTTTTTTAAAAAAAAATTTAAGATTCAAGATATATGATGAAGAGACTACTATTCATGCTAAGAAATATTCTAATTAATAATGATCTATTTGAATAATTTGTTACAAAATTCTTGACAGTTATATTATTAAAAACCTTCTCTTTTTCAAATTTATCAATTCAGATGTGTTTTTATCTTTTCTTTGATATTTTTATGAATGTAAAAAATAAACACACTGAAAAATCGTTATAAAATTCAAGTAATTCCACCTCAACTTTACTGAAACAACAGAACAAGTTCTGATGTAATTTTCGCTTCACAATTCTACTTTAAAGACTCCCATGCCCTTGGTAAGGAGTCCAACAAATATTTTAGAATTATTGCTGATCAAATATGAATAAATATAAAGAAAACATTGATGAGTAGAAAGTGGTTGACCTCAGTTGCTGTGAAGGAAAATAAACTATGAAATATATTTTATCTTCGTAATATATATTTTAGCTCTTTTTAGACATAAATAGGGAATAACTCAAGATATAAAGCCAAGTTTAAATACCTTCATGTGTTTTAATTATGAAGTATTGGTCTATAAATATTGCACAATTTCGTTACCTCTTGATTCTGCCAAAAAATTTTGTGTTCTATGGTTTTAATTTTCAATCTTACTGCAGTCAGGAGTGCAACAAAACTGTTTATTAATTATCAATGATCTTCATCTATCTTTACTAAAAAATAAATTGAAAAAAAATGCTGTTTGATGTTCGAAGCATTATGTCTATCAACTAGTTACAGACATTTTACAGTTAATTCAGATATTAGTTTTCATCAGTAAACACCTATTTTTTAATACAATGTATATATATATTGCACATTGCAAATAATCATGTTTTGAAGTCTTGAAAATATGAAAGTTGCCGTAAATTATAAAAAATATAAAAATGACGAACTGATTTACAAACTAAGAATGAATTATTGTGTTTTTATAATTTTTAAACCAATGCTAAATAAAAGACATATGAGATGTCAAAAGTTAAACACAATAATAACAGTAATATAGACAGTAAAATAGAGTCACTTCAAAATCTAGGGTCCCAAAAACTAGTATTTTTTGTAAGAAAACTTTTATATCAAAATTCTTTTTTGGCTTAGATTTAAAGAATTAATTGACTTAATTGAACAAAAAAGTGATTTGGGGGGTGGGGGGGGGGGGTGTTTCTATTGTTTCAGATTTATTTCATATTATAACTATTCCAACCAGAATTGAAAAAGTAATGTAAAATAACAATCAAAAAGCCATTTTTCCCCACATATACAAGAGAAGAAACTCAATCAAGGTTTACATCTAATCATTTATATCCCTGATACCATTTTAAAGCATAAAATAACTAAATTTTCTTTTGATTACGGATTTTAGAAAGTCTTTTAGGATGTAGTGATATTTTCTTTTTTCAAATGAGGTTTCAGTAATAAAAATTCTCATTTTTTTTATCCAATTGTGTATTCTATTGCAATTTCAGGAATATGAATTAGAATGCAAGTACAATATGATGATATGTAAGTGAAAAATATGTTAAAGGTAGTTGAATTTTTTTAAAAGAAAAAATCAATTTGGTGGTGATTATTTTTGAATTCACCCTTCATCAATAATATTAGTATCGGAATTCCCATCAACCGCTGCTGTACCAGTCAGTGAATTGTTTGATAAAGAACCCTGTACATCTTGATACGTTTGACTTCCATCACGTTCTGTATTTATAAAAGGCCAACAGTTAACTTTTGTCTCTTCTTGCTCACAGACATCAGATCTTTGTATTTCATTGTCCTCCTCGGAAGTTACCAGTTCTGCTTCCTCGAGAGCCATGTCCATGTTATCATTTTGATGAAGGAATGAAGAATCCCCTACTTTCAATTGTAATGTCGACTGGTGTTCGCCAAAGTTGCTTTTCAACATTCTCTTATCTTTTTGGTCTGGATAAGGATTTTTGATGTGTTCACTTTCCCTGCTCGTTTCAGCTACAGTAAAGTTTCTATGTTGATCGGTAAATTCACTTTTCAAACGATCGTCTTTAGTTGGATTTCTCGTTATTTCACTACACAGAGATCCCTTCTTCTGTGGAACATCTACACCATTCTCCTCTTCACAGCCACCACCCTTTGTTTTAATTGAGAAATCTAACTCGCCCTCTGAGTGAGAACGTATCAATGGATTGAAGTTAAGACACGGCTCCTCATACGCACTGTGAACATTGATATTCGATGCTGAATGAGGTTTCCTTGGTCCAGTACAGCTACATACCGGATCTAGAAACTTTTCCTCCCTTAGATCTATTCTGAGGGAGAGAATATGGTAAATAGGATCATCTTTGTGGCCACAGAGTGGGTCGGAGATTGCAAGAGGGAGGGGAGATTCCTGGACAGATATAGAACTTATTTTACTATATATACATTCGTCTTCCTTGAATTGCTCTGCTGTGTTTCTGATATCAGGCCCTAGATGAGCTCTGCCCCTCTCTAAAATATATTTAATTTTGAAAATCTACCATCAGATGGTGGTTTTATACATTGCACATGTCTCATTCTATTTTAATTTAATCAAATGGATAAATATTACTTACTTCTTCGTTTTCCTTTTACGATCCTAAAACAAAAATGGAATTATAAAATTCAATACTTATTAATTGTCAAATAAATGTATTGTTAAAAAAAATGATTCTCTCACTATTTGTATGGCATTGCAAATTCAAATGAGCAAATGTTATTTGATATTTGATGAAGTAGGTTTGATTATTATAATCTAGTTTACAGAGCTTGAATTGTAGTTACCGATTTTTAACAGTGCGAATGCTTCATAACATTTTTTTTAAATGAGTTGTTCAACAATATACATTTATTGACTGTGTTCTCGGTCAACATACGTTTTGTCAAATCCAAGAACGAAACTGTTTACCTGAGGCCGTTAGTTTTGAGGGTTCGACAAAACGCATATCGCCCGAGAACACAGTCAATAATTTTTTTGTTATACCTTTTATGTTTGACATACATGTATCTTGTGCTGGCTTCCATGATGTAAATATCTTTAACCTGCACTAAAACTCGGTCAATTCTGTCAATGTCGAACACCAACGAGTGCAGATAAGATTTAGCTGATCCCGCCCACAACCAGGGATGGGCACGATTACTGAAAAATGTAATCGATTAATAATCGATTACTTAGAGGAATTCTGTGTAATCGATTATTAATCGATTACACCCATTTTTGTCCTGTAATCGATTGTAATCAATTACTTTGGAAGATGTAATCGATTAATAATCGATTACTTCCAAGTTTTTATCTCTTCAAATATCAAAGCAATATTTAAATGTTGATGTTATCCACTGAAGTCTGAATGTGTTTCTGTAGTTCCAGTGCAGATTCTTTTAAGGTTTTATTCTGGCTAATGTTCTTACTAATGCCCAAATGAGGGATTGAGATTCCCTTCCATGGAAAGTGGAGACATGATTCTTACAATAAATTATGCCAAGGAATTAATTATTCCTTTCAACTTTGGATCTGAACCTCCATATTTATTGACTTGTTGCAAAAATTATTTAATATTTTATTGTGAATTACTTCATTAGAAGTATTTGCCAATGGACAGTACACATTAAACATTCCTGTACGTGTCTTTTTTTAAAAAAAAGATAAGTAAATTACATCGAACTTTAAGAAATAAACATGTAAATTAAATGTGTCTTTAAGTAATTTAACTAATAGTACAATTTCATTCTGCATTGAAATAAGTGTTTTGAGAGTTATTAATTTTAATAATATTGTTTGTCTTCAATGGAATGAAAGTTAAACATTGGGTAGTTCACAGTTTATACCTCATTATTTGTAATCAGGGATGTCTAAGTCAATATTAATTAGCCAATTAAGATAAGCAAACACTGACACACTCCCTCTCTTACAGACACTTATAACCTCTCACTGATATAAAAGCAACCTTACAATTTTGCATGAAAACATGAGAATGATTTTACAAATTTTAAAGTTACTAAAACACAAGTTTGAAGTTGTTTCAACATTTTCAGATATGAATAAGTATTTCCATCTTTTTTTTTCGAGTACAATGTAGTTTATTTACCAAATTATTTATATTTAATACAGAACTTAAATTTGTTTTTGCTATTTATAATTTTCTATTACAAGACAAAGTTTTTCAACATCTGAAATATGAAAAAGGACTTGCGCCAAGAGGACAGTGGGTCAAATGTAAAATGCACACAAAAAATCTATATTTTATTAATAAATGGTTGAAATACATTTCTGAATTATTTAATACTAGACCAGTAGGTCTATAATGCAAATTTTATTGAGAACGTTATTAAACTTCTGATAATAAAAGTTAGGAAATCCAAACATTACACTAGGTGGTTTATATTTGATATTTATGTGTAACTGACTGGAAATATATCTCCAAAATAACATCCTTTTATGTATAAAATAATCGAAAGTAATCGAAAAATTAATTATAATTACATTGAAAATTTTAGCTGTAATCGATTAAATTACGATTACAAGTAATCGAAAATCTTTTCGATTACAGATTACTGTCGATTACTTGAAAAAAAAAGTAATCATTACAATCGATTACGATTACTCGATTACGATTATCCCATCCCTGCCCACAACGTGACGTATCTCATCGACAAATCTAATATCGTACTCTGCGGTCAAACATCGAGTTTTTATGACCGCTCAGTAAAAGACTTTTTTAGTATAGATTTTTACAATTATAGAGTAACTGATTTTGAAATGTATAACAATAAATATTAGATGTTTTGAAATTCAATTTGTAATTTAAAACTTTGGATCGCAATAATTACTTCAAAGTTAATTATGGTTGTCCACAGAAACGAACAATATCATTAATCGCATTTACGATTTATAAACCTAGTTTATCGAATATGTGTTGCTCATCGTGGTGAATTTGTCTTGTCTTGTTTGTTTACCTTTTAGAATAACAGAGATAACCAATCACGGATATTATGCAAAGAAGAACAAGAGAGCTCCCAGTGATTATGACGTCATTGCTATGTACACCGTCCAGCCTAAGGTGTGCTTCTCTTTCTTCAAGAAAATATTTCGTATAATTAGAAGTACAGTGTACATTACAGTAGACGGAACTATAATTTTAAGAATAGACTTTAGTTCACCTTTTGTGGAATTAAATTGTGCTTTGGTTGTACCAAGCGTCAAAGTAGAAATGCTGTACGCAGTAATGATCGATATAATGTCAGCTGTTGAATCACTTTTTGGAGTTGGAGTTTTCACGCATCCCATCCTCTTATTACAGATCTCTCCTTCTGTACAATTACAGACAAACAACTGTCTCCGTACTGGCCATCAGGACACGGCTCTGAACAATTTATTCCATATGTACCTGGCTCACAGCCTTAAAAAGCGTTAGAAAAGAGTTTCTTATTTAACTGGCATTTGAGTTGCTTATTTAAACTATCATTTATATTTATTACCCAGTGAAACAATAAATGCACACAATTATCAATTAATACAAGTACATACGTATGCAGCTTGTTTCAGCAAGTCTGTGATTTGCACAACAAATCTTTGGCCTGAAGTGAGAAAAGTAAATATTTTATTATTGTCTCATGTGAATATATACAAATACAATAGTAATAACAATAGAAACACGTATATAATTACACCCGACACATTGGACCAATATGTAACTTTAGCATATACATGTATAACATATTTTCATTTTTAAAGGGAAGGCGCATGAAATTAATTAGATTTTTAAAAATATGTTTCTCTTACTGAAATGAATAAATTAAAGAATTTGGCAGTTTGTCTTATCATTTTTCATTAAAGTGTTCAAATTATCACCTAAATCAAAATTTCTCTTTAAATTTACACTATCAAAGAAAGCCTGAAAATGTTTTTGAAAAAAAGTTTATTTTTCAGTATTAAAAACTTTCACAAAAGGCGAGTAAGAGGAAATGGTAACCCGTGTATAAACGTCTGCCATGTAAAATGTGCCATTGCTTGTAAGACTTGCCATTTTAATCAGAAATCATTTTGCGTCAAACTTTTTTTTTACAATTCTTGTTTTGTTATGAACATGTTGGAACAATTTGTGCTTACCCTTCCTGCTTTCTTACGCAATTGCCAACATATTTCCTTTTTCCCTTTTTTAGGTCACTATGGGATATATCAAAATGATTTTTATTTACTGGGGCAATTTTAACTTTTTTGAAGTTTTAAAGGTCATTTTTGAAAGGAAAATATATTTATTCTTTTGTATATAGGTATGATATCTTTTTCATTCTGTCAGTGTACACATATTAAAGTCTTAACTGATAACATCGAAGGTTTTATTCCAGACACTTTTAATGCTGAGAATGTGGTATGTTTGCATTATGCAAACTTAACGGATAAAGATATAGTTTATTCACAGCTAAATAGAGACGCGTTAAAATCAAAAATCCTACAAATGTAGTGTCAATCTGAAAGGAAATACATATATTATATTAGAAAAAAAAAACAAAAACAAAAACAAAAAACAAAAACAAAATAAAAACAAAACAAAAACAAAAAACAAAAAAGAAAAACAAAAACCATGCATCACTTCAATTTACTACACAACATGAGAGAGTACTCCAAGTACATGTACTTTTTAGATTTCATTTTGGTCATCATTGCAAAGTAAATGCTTAGAAAATTTACTTAAAGGTGCTTGGACACAGATTTGAAGTTAATATTTTCTCAAGTTTTTGGTATAATATCATGAGTTATATGTTGCTATAGCATTTCAAACGGAAATAAAATAAAATAAAAACTTATTTTATCTGGAAATTATTGAAACTACAAATTTCGGGACGCGTTTGATTGATACATCCTAGCAGTTTCATAAAGCAAACTTTATCCTTAATACTTAAGAAAAGTAAAAATGTTGTTTTGTATTAATAAAATATATTAAAACTATAATCCAGAAATTCAAAGTAGAAATGTGAGAAAGCAAAACCAACTCACCAGTATTGTCAGTCCGTGCTAAGTGATGTGTGCAGAGTTTAACAAATTGAACACACCCGGCGAAACGTAAACATTAACAATAAAAGAGCTCGTGCCCTGTTTACAAAAACAGTTTACGTCTCACGGGTGTGTTCAATTTGTTAAACTCTGCACACATCACTGAGCACGGACTGACAATACTGGTGAGTTGGTTTTTCTTTCTCACATTTCTACTCTTTATTTTCTTTATTATAGTATAATATTTTTCATAAATGCAACAAAATTTCTACTTTTCTCAAGTATTAAGGATAAAGTTTACTTTGTGAAAGTGCATAGATGTGTCAATCAAACGTGTCCCGAAATTTGTAGTTTCAATAATTTCCATATAAAATAAGTTTTTTTTAATTTTATTTTCATGTGAAATGCTATAAAAATATATAAGTCATGATATTATACCGAAAATTTGAGAAAATATTCACTTCAAATCTATGTCCAATCACCTTTAAAGTGTAAATCATATTATTCTTAGAAAGAAAGTGATATTTATCATATTTCAAAAAAGAATTTCTGAGTTATTGATAATAAACGTAAATTCTTACCTTTCATTAATCACACATCCTCTGATGACTGGCATCAACAAAAGTAAAAGTAACAAGTTATAGTTTTCCATCTTTCTTTCTCCTCAATACATTTGTTTCTAGTTTTGATCCTGTTTTATAGACTTTGTTTGAATTGCTTCCTTGCAGCTTGATGTAACAGATTATATCTGACACTAACAGGCACGTAGGACAGATTTTGAAAGTGAGGGGCAAGTCAGATAGAAGACAAAATATTTGACTGAAAAAACTTTGACAAAAAATGCCAAGGATCCTATTTCCTGTGCATATGCAGGGGGTGATATATGTGTGCGCAAGATATGTCAAAATTAAAAGTGAAATGTATAATAAAACATTTATCAACTGTGTTCTCAGGTAAAATGCGTTTTGTCTTCCCCTCAAACCAAACTGTTTGCATTCGGCCTAACGGCCTCAGGCAACAAGTTTGGTTCTTGGGTACAACAAAACACATTTTGCCCGAGAACCAAGTCAATAAATACATGAGTATATTTATGTCTCTCCCTGATTTCCTAAATAAAAGCAGCTTGATTTTTACTCTGAATTTCTTAAATACGACTGGACAATTATATGTGAGAATGAAATTATCATTTATTAAGAATATATTAGCGAATAGTGTAAGCGTTAACTTCTCAGAAAGGGTGTTATTTGTTTAGGGCTCAAGGCAGGTGTGACCGCCTCCCAGGCACCCCCCCCCCCCACTTTTTAAACTATAAATCGAAACAGAATTTGACTATCAATAGAACACCACACCTTTGCTGTTTTTTTTTTTTTAAATTGCCATATGAACTTTTCTTATACTTGTAAATGCTTTTCTTCGAAATGAATATGCTTAAATATAAAACACTATCTTTATTCGTTTACATAATTATTTTCATAAATAAACTAGAAGTCAATGTGATGGATAAGTTGAATTTCTGAGATAAATTAAATAATCTTCTGACTAAAAAAAAAAATTATTTCACCCTTTTTTTTTTTTAGGAACACAGGCCTCCGAAATTTTGTGGGATTTTTTTTTTATTTCCGTTTCAAAATAATCGTGCACAATTGGACAATTGTCATTGAAATGGAAGTTGGTGATGGAATATCTAAATCGCTATTAAAATATTCTAAACTATTCATGGTACAAAATTTATCATAGCTGCAACGTAGTGAAAACAAGATATGGTAGAGTCAACATTTTTTGAAATACACAATTTCAGAATTAAGACCTACATTTCAATGTCACCGTTATTATATAATGTTCTTTCGTCTTTTGTGGTGTTGAACTAGATCTAATTTATAATGAATTTTCACAAGGAAAAATAATTGTGACTTTAATGAAGAAAAGATAAATCTCACTCATAATTGCTCTATTAACACTATTTATTAGCTTTATGAAACAAGTCCTCATTTAATGCAGATACATTTCATTTCAACTTTTCATAACAGTTATCGATATAGTATCCGATATAATTTTATACACAATATTTATTATTTTTAATGATATGCTGCCTTAATATTACAAAAGTAAACTTGAGGTTAAAGAGAGAACGTAGAATTATCTTTTACGTTAATTATTCAGTCCAGTACACCAGCTTTATCGTTATATGTACAATGTATAGGTCAATTGACATTACACAGTCCAGTTGCAAAAAGTCTTCAGGAGTACCGTTTAACAATGTATTCGAGAAGTGGTGTAAATCAGATGTAGATTCTTAAAAACTCCAAGGGTGCTTTGGAAAATTTGAAATCACAAAAGTTTACCAAAATTAATAACATCAAAATACATTTTTTTATCAACACGCTATACAACTATTCCCCATTTTGTTTTTCTGTTTGCTCGATTATGACAACACGGCGGGTATGACCGGTCGACAGGGGATGCTTACTCCTTCATGGCACCTGATCCCACCTCTGATGTTTTTTTAGAGGTCCGTATTTGCTCTGCTCCCTATTTGTTTTGTCTTAATGGACTTTTGAGATTGATTGCATTATTTCCACATTTCAATTGTAAAAAGCATTCTGATTGTACATATTCTTGATATTAAAAAGATGCTTGAGTTTCTGATTGACAATATCTATGCATTTTTAGTGATTAAGTCTTCCAACAATCTGTCGGAATTCCCTTAGGTACTAAGTGTGCCCACTTATTAGCAGGCCTATTTTGGTATTCATTTAAAGCAGAATTTAGTCAAAAACTTCTACATGATAAGAAGAAGTCTCTTTCTGTGGCCCTCAATTCAAAATTTAGTTAAATTGACGACGTTTTATCAATTAACAATATTCATTTTCATTCCAACGCTGATATCCCTCTAAACTCGAAATAAAAGATACTACAGAATTTAAAAAAATCTGTTTCATATTTGGATATTTTACTAGAAAAAAACGTCAATTGTAATCTAACAATCAAAGTTTATGATAAACGTGATGATTTCAACTATTTTTTTTTTCGTTTTCTCGATCGTGACAAGGTGTGATAGGTCGACAGGGAATGTTTACACCTCCATCCCACCTCTGATCTTTTTAGAGGTCCGTGTTTGCTCTGCTCCAAATTAGTATTGTTTCAATGGACTTTTGAACTTGATTACTGTGCGTTATCTCCATATTTCACTTCGCTTAGGCATTTCACATACAGTAATACCTTAAAAGCATTTCTACCTATAGTTCACATTTGTTCAACGTGTAACAAGTGATTTGCCTATTAAACAATCTGAATATA